CCCCCTCCTCCGCACGGTAACGTAACAGTGACGCAACAGGATTGTTACGGTAGTAACAGCGGTTACTACCGCTAGCATTACTAGCAACACAGCGCCAGGCAACAAGGGTGCCTATTATGTGGCCGTTTTCCGTATTGTCCGATCAAGGCTACATAAGGAGCAGCGAAGGCTATTCACAGTCAGTTGTACTGAGTCAGTCAGTGAGTCCTGGAGCTACCGCCGAGTTAGCCAGCAACTAGTCAGTTGTATTCTGGCATTTGGAGTGTACTAATTGTGATACTGCAGATAGCAGTAACCGTAAATCTGTAATTTGGGTGATTGTGAGAGCGGATGTGAAATAAAATTCGCTACACCAAATACCTCGTGAAGTTATTTGTCGCGATATACGCCCGATACGCGACAGTATCATATAGAAGACACAATTTCTTACACTCAGAAATACCACTAAAATCACTGCCTTTTACAATGTGAATATAACTTGTCTGACATAGTTAGAACTTTCTACTGTAGATCACTGCATTGGGTTGCCCATGCACATCTAAATAGTGGAGAATGGCAACCTCTCAATCAGTGGGTTTCTGTATTGTTCAAACATCTTATACCTACATGCTTTTTGAAAATATTGGAAAAAAATAAACTATTTCGTAGTGAAAACTGACAAATCATTGGCAGTATGTACAGATATAGTGTGACATGTTGACCCCTACCTCCCCAGCTGCACGTAGCGGTAACGTAGCGCTCGCGTAATAGGCGAGTAATCACCCCGCATCCTGGTAGCTATGCAACGCGCAACGCGCGGTGACGTCACGAGCGGAGCCGAAGTGAGCCAAGCAGAGCCGAAGATAGCCGAGCCCCCGCATCCTGGTAGCTATGCAACGCGCCACGCGCGGTGACGCCACGGTAACGCGGAACTGCTTCCCACTATGACGTGGCCCGCAACAGGCACCACTGCGGATATATAAGGGGACCGCACAGCAGCTACCAGTCAGTTGGAATGTGGGCAGCCGCCGAGTTATAACGTGGCCATCGCCAAAGATAGTTCCGAGCAAGCCTACGAGAGTGTGTTATCAACAGTTCTCCAGTCAGGCGACTACAGTTGGAGTATAGCAGCTGTCGCGGGAAGAAGATCCGGACGTGTGTGTGATTGTGTAATTGGGAGCGTGTGACACAGTGATACATAGCTCCCCTATTGTAAACGTGTAGACTACTGAACACAGAGTGAGCTGATTTGCGCATAGGGTTATAAAGTGTGAAACCCCGCAACAGTGGTAACAGATTAATGCGATTAGGGTTATAAAGTGTGAAACCCGGCAACTGTGTGATAATTAATTGTAGCCGTTTCTTGTAGATTGTTGAATAAACCAATTAACGATCTCTACGGCGTATTCAGTAACAAAACACGTTACAATATTATGAAGTGAAAATTTAACTGAACAGTACAGGAATGCAATGAGAAATAGGCTTCCCCAACATGTGGAGTGTCCCACTCCTGTTCCCTCTTGTGCATGCAGCAAAGCTACATCAGACAAGCAACGCAATAAACTTCCAAAATATGATGAGTAACAAAAGGCTGTTTGTTTTATATATATTGTAACGTGTTTTGCTACTGAAACTTGTTGGTAACGTGTGTAAGTCCAATCCCACTTCTGACACCAGTGTAACATGTTTAGGTTACTGAAGACGCCGTTCGGATTGTTAATTGGTTTATTTAACAACCTACCAGTCTCGGCTACAATTAATTACAACACTGTTGCAGGGTTTCACACTTTGTAACCCTATTCGCAATAATCAATTCACTCTGTCCTCAGTAGAGTACACGTATTAATTACGATACGGGAGCTATACAAGTGTCCCTGTATCACACACTCCCAGTTACGCAATTACACGTCCAGTTCTTTCTACGATGGCTGCTATATTCAGACTCAACTCGTAGGCTGCTGCCTTGAGAACTCGTTCACTGCTGACTTGAGAACTCACTTCGGCAGCTGATACACTTTTAACTAACTTCGGCGGCAAGCGGCCTCCATAGTCTAGAGGTAACGTTCCCACCTCATGACTCATAGTATGCGGGTTCAAATACCCGGCGGAGGTCGTCGAATTTTTAAGGGCGGAAAAATTCAGGGAACAAGTCCTCCGGGAAGGACTTCAAGCCATGGGTCCTGTGTCATAGCTTTACAGCACATAAAAGAACCTCATACCTCCAAAGGAGGTCACTGAGCAAAATTGCGGACGTTTGCCGTCCAACAGCAGTCACTAATACCTCCGGTAGATGAGGGAAGCATTGTAGATACTTCTCAGCCAGTAGAGCCGGTCTCGCTGGCTGGGCGGGACTGATGGTAAGCACCAATACCGGTAGGATATAGAGGCTGGTAGAAATCATAGAGGGAAGCACAATGGACCACTACAGGTCTAAGTGCATGGGAAAACCCACCCTCTCTAATAACTAACTAACTAACTTCGGCGGCTGTGTAGTTCCCTTATATAGTTGCAGCGCCCGCCTGTTACGCAATGGGCACTGCTGTTGCGTGTTACCTGTGTCACAGCTGCGTTGCATGTTATGTCACCGCGGGGAGAGGGGCAGGGTGTTGACTCGCCTATTACCATAGTAAAGACAGCGCTACGATGCCACCACGTACCGCTGGGGAGGGCGGGGTCCTCCATTGCGCAATACGTCACAATATTTATGTGCACCATGAGAAGTTATGTATGATCTTGAGGTACAACAAAACATGAATTTCTTTATCAGCTCAGTAACTCTCAGGTGCTTAATAAATACAGTATACCATAGAGTCTTCATTTTGTGAGTAATGAAGACAATATACTTTTTGTATGTGTAGCTCTGCAAGGTTTTTCACCAAACCACAAAATTACATCATTTGCTGAGGCGAAAGGATTGGATGCCATCAATGAGAGGATGCCTCCAAGAAAAGATGCTCCGCCAACTCCAGCTGGAGATGACAAGAAGTTGGCAGTATCCCCAACACAGCAGGGCAATCAGACCAGTAATTCCCACACTAACACCAATGCTCACTCATGAGCAGTTCTAAACCACCATGTCACAATGCACCATGAGGTAATCTTCTTTGACTATGTTTGACTTTGCCATTTATTTCTGTAAGTCCTCATGAATAAGTGCTTGTCAACATCATATTTTCATAAGTAATTTTCTGTAATATATCCTTGACTTACTAGTGTTCCACTTATGTTTGAGAAAGTTTTCTGTGTCAGTAAATTATTGTATTGGATCTTCTGTGAGTATCCATGCATACAAGTTTAGATGTTATAAATGTGGTACATAAAATAAGGAATGCAATTTTGAGGATTGGCCATTTATATATTTCAGTTTAAATCTGATTGATAGATTTGGTTTAAATTTTGTATAGGAGTTGAATTTGAGGTTTTCACAGCAGTGACTGTGAAGAGTGCGATCTTCTGAGTTGTAACACCATATAATTTAGTAGAAGTTGGCCAGTGTTCCGGAAGAATATTAGTATACTTCTACCAAACTACACAGTGTTACAAACCTCCAGAAAGTTGGTGTGGAAGCTGTACACTAAAATTTCCAGGATGAATTTAATTTTCCCCCCACATTCGGTACATACTTAACAGTGCCTGCTCTGCCTGATGCCCTTCATGTGTAACACGTGCGTTAAGGTTAATCAGAATGACAAAGTGATAATTATAGAGTTTATTGATACATTCTGTTCATAATTTTTGATATTAGGGTTTCTGAATATGTTAGATTTGTTAAACTTTGTCTCAAAATTTTGCACCACTGCCATATTTGTAATTGTTAATGTATAAATGATCCATCATGCAGAAGTTGTAGGCATGTTCATGACCTATACATAACTTCACATGCCAGTTTCTGATGGGTGTTCAGCCATTGCTGTGCAGTGCAGTGTGTGAACATGTGTCTTGAGCTATGAGGGAAGGCTAACAAGGATCCAACTTTTGCAAATATCTCTAGGATCACCACAAGTGACTAAATTTGGATTTACAGTTATGATTCAGAATCAAAGCAACAGTTGTCACAGTGGAAGAGCCCACAGTCACCAAGAGCAAAAGGGGCACAGCAGGTCTGGAGTTCAACAAAGAGCATGCTCATTGTTTTTTTTTTCGACATGAAGCGGATCGTTCATCACGAATTTGTTCCTCCTCACACTACCGTCAACTCTGACTATTACTGTGATGTTTTGAGACGCATGAGAGAAAATGTGCCACAAAGAAGACCGGAACTTTGGCACAACCACAAATGGCTCCTTCATCACAACAACACGGTTATCATTCCCCATCGTCCCTACTTACCAGACTTAGCCCCCTGTTATTTCGCTTTGTTTCCCAAATTGAAAATGAAACTGAAGGAATGACGTTTTGAAACAGTGTCTGACATTCAAAGGGAATCACAAGTAGTACTTGACAGCATAAGGAAAATGACTCCCACAGTGCTTTTGAAGCGCAGAAAAAAAAATGGGATCTCTGTATCGTTTTGTTTGCGAGACAGCTTCATAATTCAGAGTTTAAGCATTACATGGAGGAAAATAACTGGATAATAATTGGTATTGAATGAAATGCATTTTTTTGTATGGCCTCTTTTTGGAATGTTATTAAAATCTGTTATGAAGAGTAGAGAAGTGTAAGTAAAGAAGGTCTAAAAGTTTCTGGAGATGGTATATTAATACAGCTGTTGAGATAGAAACTAGCTCTATCGATTGAGCCCAACTGAGTAAGCTTCTTACAGGAGGATAGGGACAGAGTCAGGTCTCTGAAATATTATGTTTAATAAAAAGGCAGGATAATGGATAATGTCCAAAAACTCAATAATTGTGTAGGTGTAAGTCTGCACCTCTCATTTGTAGTATTTTCTTATTATGTTCACACCTTGAAAATAGTAGAAAGGTGCATGTGTTTTTCTAAATGTTTTGTTTGTGAAGTTACTACATATGTCAGTGGGGTTTGTGTTTATTTATTGCTGATGGAAATGTGGTAAATCGGACTGTCACTGCCTTAATTAAATATTGTATAGGCTCTCCTTCTTTGAAATATTTTAAAATTCTCTGCATTTTCAACCTCCTTTATACCTTTTGGATACTATATCATAAGACCATGCATGCAGTGTAATGTTTTAATTGTGGAACGAATATTATGCGTGTAATAACTTTTTTAACTTCAATTCATTATCTTTTCAATGAAACTTACTTAAAATATCAGAATTAGTTTTTATTTACATAGGCAGCTCGATATCTTCTTCAACAACAGAAATAAAATGAATGGCCTTACTCAGTTCTGTTACAGGGTTGAAATGTAAGGTGCTTATCATGTGCAGTAAATACATCTGTCACCATCAGATCAATTCTCTTATGGACAAGATGCAAATGTATTGTTACACTTACCCTGTGAAGATTGCTGTCTTCTGAAATGTGATGCCATGTGTTCTGGTAGAACTGTAGGCCCTAAAAAGGGCCACATTCCCCCACCACCACCACCACCACCACCACCACACTAGTCTTCTCCTTGCTACTATTTGTTCACACATGGCCCCATTCCTGATCCTCCCTTTCACTTTTTTCACCAGTCGACTTACTCTTCTGCCATATGGGTAACTGCATCAGGTTCCTCCAAAATGTTGGTAATGTTACACCAGACTGCATGGCATTACATCCTGAAAGACTTGGAATGCAAGTAAAAGTTACAGATCATGAGTGAGATCTACATGTTGTGTCTCACATACAAATGTTTGTACACTGTACTCTGAGAAAATCAGGAAGTCTTATATGAAGTTCTGTAAATTGGTATTTATAAATGACCAGTACATACCCAAATTATATTTTCTCCACAATTTTTAATGCAAACTTTGAATATCCAGTTTCATCAAAACTGATGAGTAGTTTTGGAGATATGAATGTATAAGGGGTAAGCCTTCTTGGCTGTTGCATCGCGACGTACAGTGGTCTGTTGTGCTTAGTTTTGGAGATAAGACAGACAGAGCGACAGATGCTCAGTTTTACCATCATTTGTTTGTTTTTATGCACATTATGCAAAGGTCACTTAAAAATGTTTCTATATGTGAGCAGCTTTTGGGATATATAATGTATTGTAGCACATTTGGCTGCTGAGGATGCCTTTCGGATCGGTAATTGGTTTTTTTAACCACTTACAGGTCATAACTATAATTACTTATGACACTCTTGTGATTTACACAGTTCACAATCACTACATGTTACCCTTCTCATGACGAACTTTCCGTGGCCATCTTCCGCCAAGAACTCTTTCACTGTCACTTAAACACTCAGTCACCCTCAAATACTCTCCAAATACTGACATCTGGCCTACATAGAGCAAATATGCCACAGTATTTATGTGCACTGTCTTTAATTTCACAGTTCTGAAATGGTACAGAAGGAAAACTGCTATTAACCAAGAAAACCGTGTACTACTAGAAGTAAATTACTTTCAAGATGTATCTGATTAAGAGTCTTTATCGTAGTACTAACTCCTTGACTGGTGTTTATGGATTTCCTTGGCATTTCCAGGTGAATGCCAAGTTAGCTCATTTGAATAGGGTCAAGTATGACCACATCCTTCCCAGCCCTTTTCAAATTTACTGTACGTAATGACACTGTTCCCCCCCCCCCTGGTGGTTTATTTCAGATGGTGTGATGATAGATGAATTGGGAAGGATTTTCAAGGAAGTAATCACGGCTTGATTGAGGTACTATCCCAGCATTTTCCTGGAGGGGCTAACAAAAACTGCCAAAGACTTCGGTCAGGATATCTTGGTGTCCCAGCCGATAGAATCAAGCATGTCCCAAATACTCTTGTATTGTCTGGAGTTCATAAATAGTCTCTGCAGTCGGTGTCATTAATGAGTAAGCAGGTTGTAGCAATCCTTCTGACTCTCCTGTCTAGTCCCTGCAGGCAGATTATGAGATAGTAACTGTAATTAGTCATGACTGTTTCTTTTCATATCCTGTCTTAATTCATTTTTCATTTCTCATTTTACCATTTGATGCTGTTTATATGAGATAAGACAGCATCATTAAATAAATCTTAATGTATGAAGTAGCAGTATCATTAAATAAGCTATTACTCATTCAACTCCTAACATGCACCTTTCTGTCTTGTTTGTGCCTTGTAAAAATACTGTCTTGCAGAGTACTATTTCAGTATTCCTGTATTTGCATTTTAAGCGTAAATTCCTTGAACATGTCAGAACTTAAGAAAAAGAGGAATGTTTTTATTGTATTCAGATGTACTGCATATTGTGTGATTGGACGCTTGTAGATTTCAGGATTAAATTGAATAGATAAGTGTTCATGAATGTTGAGAATATTTACACTTCTGTTATTGAGCACTGTGAGATGCTGAATGGTTTTCAAGGTCTATAGCCATAGGTCTCATGTTTGACACAGAATAATTTGTGACTTCACATATTTGCAGGTTTGAAGCTGGGGCTGAAGTCTTCATGTCTTGCAGTAATGGTGGCACTAACGAGTGGGTGCATTGTGTCTCACTGGCACCATCCATTTCACTACTTTCCCATGTTTACATTACTTGTGTTGGTAGGCTACTCCCCATCATCAATACCATCACACAAACAACATCGCTAGTGTTCTACCACAAGATAATTTTTATGGCCATTGCCTGCATCATGATGGCAAAGCTGCAGCGGGCTGCAGTACAAACCTGGCAATGGGAACATTCTTGTTATCGTTACTTGGTATTACAGTGCTGGCAATCCTTCCCCTGCCCAAAGTGTCTTCTTCACAAGGCACAGCGAGAGGTTGTTTTATGCTGAATGAGAGAGTGTATGAAGCGAGGAATGGTAATAAGGGGCCCTTCAGAAGGATGTGTATTTTACCATTTTAAATTCAAGTCTTATTTAAAGGTTTAATATGGCTGACAAATTTTGATATTACATAACCCGTACTAGTCATAATATTTAAAAAGGTATCATATTTTTGCTTTAGTTTTGTAGCTGTTCTTAAATTGTGTTCAATATTATAAATGGAGCATTGATGTGTGTGTGTGTATGTGTGCACGCACGCTCCTGTGTGCATGCATGTTTTAGTTCTTCATAGAGAGTTTTATGTAACAAGGTATGCCTAATAGTGTAGTGGCCTATTAGTATGTTCTTTGGAAAATAAATTAAGATTTTCTTTATGAACGATCAGAATAATTCAGACTATAAAAATATGTATGTTGATGAAAAAATAATGAAAGTTTTTGTTTTTTTTTAACCTTAGAATTATGAATTAAAGTTAGTAGTGTGCTCTTTGGAGCTGTCTTTAAGAGTCTCTCTCTCTCTTTCACTCATTCACTCACCAACCCACCCACTTATGGAAGAAATTGTAATATGTGAATTTACTTCAGTACAATTTTTAGTAGCTATAATGTCACATCTAATGTTGAGGTTAAGAATGTGTGGAACAGTACCTCCCCTATCCGATACTTCTTCTTTGCATGGTACTTAATTAAGCACAGGGGCAAGTTTACCTTTGTAGTGCACTTTACCATTTTGGTTTTGTTTTTAAATTGCAGGGTAAGCATGAGAAATGGTAGGACATGTCCTTATGAATGACCCCTTACATTACTGGTAGATGCATTTGGATAGAGAGGACACATGGATGTAAGAGAACCTACTCCTCATGACAACCCTACCAATGAGCTGACCTGTCTTGTTTCATTCTAAGCATTTTGTCAGTGGCTTCATTTTGTTGATGTTTCAATTAAATGAGTAAGTGAGGTTTAGATCTTGTACATAATACTTTTTTACTCTGTACTTTTGAAACGTGAAGTTCTGACGTTTGTTGACAGCAGGAATGTGTTCCGTTATTTGAAAGCAATATAAGTTGCCTAAATGGATGTTCTCTCTGTTCAAACCCATGCATGTGTTGTTTATACATAGTCAATTACATCCAAAGAAATGGAATGGAAGTGGATATGGTGACAGTCTATAGTTACTATATTTACAAGAATTTAAGTCATAAGTCAGATTGTTTTGAATCGGAAAGATGTACTTATAAACAAGAATGAAATGGATTTAGAATTAGAGAATAATTCTTTGTGGAATAGCAGGAATTGCAGGGATTATATATGAGGTATGTGAAATTGTGAATTTGAACATGCGAGATGAGTTTAAGAATGTCATCTGCAGCTTGCATGTCTCATCAGTTTCGATTACCATGTTTCCATTGCCTTAAACATAAGAAAATCTGGATATTCAAAGAGAAAGGAAATGACAAAAGTAATAAAAATATAAATTTAAAATGTTTAAAAAAAAGGTTTTACTATTAAATACATATAATTTTTGTGTGTTTTTTCTTGCTAAAGAAAAATGAAATGGAAATGATATCTCTCTTTGCTACCAAGTTGTACTTATTCATTTTCTTGTACAAACATGTTACATACATAATTAGAGTGTGTACGACTCTTTCTAAGGGATTCCTTGTATGTAAAGTTTAAGAGAAGAGAATAATTATACTATATAAATGCTATATTAGGTCCCTCGGAATAAATGTTGGTGTGGCAAATGGTGTAGTATGTAGAAAGAATGAGATGAGATGAGAACTCTATTGTTTCCTTCCAGTTTTTCTAAGAATTTTATATATATTTGTTTTTTTTTAATTTAGTTTTATTATTCTCACCATGTTTTCTTATCATCTTCATCTTCAAAGAATGCAGGTATTTTCTTAATAACTGTTGAAGCAACAAAGAACTTATGTTTTATATCTATGTATGTTATTGTGTATGTATATATAAATTTTATTTACTTGGTGCAATGTTTTGGCTCTTTGTAGGAATCTAGTTAAAAATTAATTTTTTTAAAGAAAACCCTAGTTAAGTATAAAAAATCGTGGTTTTTTAGTGTAAACTAGGAGCGTGAGAAGGAATGAATGAATGAATGGTGGTGCGTGTGTTTCTGAGAATGGTGTTGAAGGGTTGTGGAACTTGTGTAAAGACCTAATGCGGCCATAGAACTGAACACAAGAGTCGATGTTTTCACATAAAGACTTGTTCTGTAGATGCAAATCATGCCGAGGGACTTGTTCTTTGTACAGTAAACAAATCATGAACGTCAGTGTAATGTTTTTTCATTCAACTGTAGTTTGGTAGAAAACTTGCTTCCTGTCCAGTCATATGCCATTGTCTGTTTTTCTTGATGAAAAGATTATTTGAGAAAAAAAATATATGCTGTTTCCCATCAAAGCAAAGAAAGTCACATCTTTTTCAGAAATAGTATCATATATCTGCCATATATATCGGGGAAGAGGTTAAGAATTTTCCTCGAAGCCTTTTGAAATGCATATTTGCTATAATGATCGGATTGTATATGTCTCCTGTTTCAGTCGTTGCTTGGGGTGAAAACTAATGCCTCACCACTTCAGACCTTTCCCCAAAAGTTTCATCACTCAGATGGGACTCTTGCCTTTTCTACTACATAGTCTGTAAGGAAGTAATCTATATACCTTTTGTGGTGTCTTGGAAAGTTTTGCAGTGAATATCTTATGTTGATGTGTTGTTCCATTATTTTCCATGAATTTGCCTTTTCCTCAGGCGTGAGCACAGAGGATTACAATTGAAAGAACTTGAAAAGGCTGACAAAATAGACTGGTAAATGTGAATGTTGCTGACAAATTGGTGGAGAGGAGGATGCCTTAGTATCCTTGAAGACTCCAACCAAACGGATGTGGCGGTAGAAGTGTGCATAACTTCTGTTGTTCCTGGATTTATTGTTACTGCAAGTTTCCCCTCTCAGTCGTCTCATTGTGCATAAATCCTCCCTTCTTGTGTGTAATATTACGTAATTGTACAGTATTCACAAGTGGGACTGTTTTTTTATATTTCTTTTTGCAAAGTGTGATCATCTTGCCAATGTTGTTGATTAAATAAATGTTATTGCTATATCTTATAAAGACAAAAGAATACATAACAGAATTATGATGATTATTATTATTATTACTGCTACTACTACTACTATTATCAGTGGTTTTTGAAGACCTCCTCTCTCATTATTCTTTACTGGAGTGGAACGTCACACTTTAAAGAATTGATAATACGCTAGTGTCATCTTGGGTGGAATAATAATCTGGATACAGGATATTCAGACCTATTTCTATGCCTGTTGTTTCTCAGGACTATTTAAATTGGTTTTAATAACAATAACCTTTATTAACAGCTGCATGATAATGATGGAGTTATACAGAGTTACCAATAGAACATGTTTAAGTAGTTTCCCACAGGCAGATGTAACAGGTGAAATTCAAACATGATGCGTGCATTTGTTACCAAATTCTGATTTGGTATAACACTACTTGAACTATAACCATGGATAGTCCAGTCAGTGAAGTGATTTGCTTCACACTTGGATGGCTCGCAGAAGTGTTGTGTTGGCAAGGTTCTCCTTAGCACAGTGACTCTAGGGCCAACCATTAATTGTATCAAACATGTACAGGAAACACTGATTGGCATTAACCATTATCCTCTGAGCATAGGGGATTTTAAATACTGTGGCACTATAGAGCTTGCAGCTTCGGAGTAATACACTAATTGTGATAAGGATTGTAGGATGTGTATGGGTTCGAACAGGACTGTAGTTACAGCGAATCATCCCCCCTCCACAATACAGCTGCAACCAGTTCTTCACTGCTTATCATACCTTCCCTCACTTCTTATCACAACCCGGAGCCCAGTTCAAGAAACATGGTGTGTATGTGTTTATATGCTGTAGGCTGATACAAATTTCTTATATGATTAACCGTGTTTTAGAGAAGTACTGAAAATAATGCAGTGCTTAGCTGGTTGAACTGCACACATGCACAATTGCAATAATGCAACACAGGGCTCATAAAGGTTAAAGTGGCCAGAGCATGAAGCTACTTCAGAAACTTTTCAGACGGTTGAAGACATTTGGAGTTTTACTTATTCATGTTTAATATTTGTTAATGGGGTTATGTTAATAAAAATTAGTAGGGACTATATGCAGAGTTGAAAATTCCTTTATTTCACATACATCAATATGTCAAGTGAGAAATTATAAAGTTTCTCTAAGTTGAGTTCTTAATTGAAAGTCTTGTCGAGTCAGTTTTTTATATCTGAAGCACACTATTTCATTTTTATCAGAAGCTGTGATAGCTCAGGCGGTATATTGACATACTATGATATGGACTGCTGGGATTCAATTTTGTGGCAGGGGCAGTAAGAGTTTTCTTTACTCTCAGCTTCTATCCATTGAGTATGGGGGGCTCTTTCCCTAGGATTAAAGCAGCTGGGGCATCAAGCTCACCACTCACCTATCTAATGCTGAGGTCAAAAATGGTGTAGCTATACCTCCACTCCCACATGTGCCTTCATGACATGATTCCTAATTAATTAAGCATGGGAGAAACTTCTCCATTTTTTGTATGTGCAAGAGCCCAACAATAGTTAGTTACTCCATCTATTAATGAAATTATATTTTGCCTTTAAAATAAATTGTTGATACAGACAAATGAACAAACTTGCTTCTGCTTGTCAGTGCAAATCTAATTACTCATGATAGTTTAAACTTATACATTCTTACTTATAGGGGCACACGGTAGCGTAGTTGGTTGAGGCACTATGCTACAAGCCAGAAGGTCACGGGTTCAAGTCCCGATGAGGTCATTGGATTTTTTCAATTGACCCAATCCTGGCCGCACTATGGCCCTGGGGTTGACTCAGCCTCAAACAGAAATGAGTACCAGGAACTAATTAAATAATTTTCCTGGGGAGTAAAGCATGACCGGCGCATAAGGCTAACAGTCTTACCACCATCTTTTAGCCAATTGTCTAGATAATGTGGAACCCTCAGCATCTCACAACTCTATGGGCCTTCACGGCCTGTTACAGGAATAGCTTTGCTTTGCTTTTTTTTTTCTTTTCATTCTTATTTATATCACATTTGTGTCAAGAAGTAGTGGAGTTCTAAGACTACCTTGAAAGGACACAATCCACAGTTTCTGCATTGCTATATTTCCCCAACTCCTTGGACAAGTATGCATAAGTCTAGAAATTATTTACCCCCACCTTCTAATGCAGCCGCCGTCAAGAGTACCTACCTACACTGCTGAAAGCATTATCATTATAGAACTCATTATGATTACATTTGTTCATATATGAAAAAAGTGGGCCTAATATTGTTATATGTTGGTGTGACAGCGTAGGGGTAGCATGTTTTATAACCTTTTTCCTTGATGTTTTGTCAGATATAAATACATTTCTGCTGCTCTTTTGTTCATGTCATGACTATTAACTGGCAGTAGTCTAAAACTGTTTTTGAGAATTACAACACTAGTGAAAATTTTCATTACACTGTGTGTTATTTATTATATTTTAAGTTTTGAGAAAGTTGATCTATTTTTGACTGGGTGAAGGGGGTGGTGGGCTTTATCATTACCTTTAGTGGTATTCGCGCTTGCATTGACCAGTACTGTGTAACAGTAATACTGGCTCTGGTGAAGCTGCATATGGGCATACTATTACAGATTATCCATGCAGCGCTGACAGGATTGTTCTGAAACATACCGTGTAGTTATGCTGTATACTCCTCACGTTCTTCATCCACTTCAAGGTGAGCCTCAAGCCTTTTTATTTCAGAGAAAATTCTCTCTTCATCATCTGGGTTATCCTGTTATGTTCTGTTCACACCACTTTATATTCTTGTATGTTTTCATATAAATTAATTAAGGAGTTCTGGAAAGAACTAATTACCTACTTTTCTTTCACTACCTACATATTGAGTGTTTTATATGACATGGGCCTCAGAGAAAACGCCATGTCCAACAGTTGTAGTATTGTTGCATATGTATTTGTTTCTGTGAGAATATGTTTACCATGCCATTGCCTGGGAACTTGGTGGAGTGGAGTGGCACAGACAATAAAGTGAGCTCATAAGGCTGTTTTTATATTTTCAAAATAAGGAAAGTGGGCTAAAATTTCGTCTTTGCTTCGATAGCTCTTGGTTCTTCATCCAACTTTTCTCCCCAGGCCCTCAGCTCTTTCAGCAGGAGTTCCCTGATCTGCTGCATCTCCACGTCTTTTTCACGTGTGTAAGTTCGTAACCACTTCTGCCACCAAATTGTAACATGTTTTGTGTATAACACGACAAATAACTAAACGCCGTATTGGATATAGCAAATTTATTGCACATTCGCTCTCCACACTTACACAATTTACAATCTGGTTACTCTTTCTCTAGTAACTGGCTCAATACTCACTACTCACTACTAAATAGTGTTCGCTGCTCCTTATTTAGCCTCGGCTCGGACAACACAGAAAACAGTTACGTGATAGGTACCGCTCTTGCCTGACGCCGTGTTTACAGGTTGCCTAGCAACACTGTCAAGAGTTGTTTACTGCACTGTAGCAACCGCAGCATCCCTTGGTAACGTCACCGCGGAAGGGGGCGGAGTGTTGACTGGCCTGTTACCGTAGCAGCGGCAATGCTCCAAAGGTGTTACGTCACCGCTGGCGGCGGAGGGGATGTCCTGAATAGCGCAAATACGTCACAATATTGTATTGCCATATTCATGACAGTGTCTGTGGCTGTGTCCAAGTTGTCATAAAAAAGATATACAATGGGACAGTCTGCACAATAATAATTCTGAAAAAGACAATATAGACACTGCTGTGTCAACATTTGTTTTATTAGCTGTTTGTGGTAACGCTAGATGTTTTGACCCTTTTCTTGGGTCATCTTCAGGCATATAAGAATACTGATACTAGTTCTTGAATTACATCATTGTTCAATATGGATCCATGTTGTGTTTGTCAAAACACGTAGTGTTACCACAAACGGCTAATAAAAAAATGTTGACAAAGTAGTGTCTATATTGTCATTTTCAGAATTATTGTTGTGTAGACTGCCCTTTTGTATCTCTTTCATATGACTAAAGATTCATCATAGAAATTTGATTTATGCTGTTACAGTCTGTCTGTACCCAGTTTTGAATCCATACAATCACACAGGGGTCACCTGTGCTTAGTAATATTTAATGCAATTACATTATCAAAATCAGCAGTTGCAATAGCAGTTTTGTTCATGAAAGATTCTGGCAGATTTCCGTAATATGTTACCCTCGTCACACATAACTCCCAGCTGGGAAGCTTGCAACTAACTGCCTGAGCTATGGCACAGCTGACGTGGTCATGTAACTGAGTAATATGAATTTTTGTTTGAATTGTGTTTATTTCTTTGGTAGTCATGTCTGCTGTTTCATTTCTGTGGATTACACAATGAAGACCAAGGAAGTTGGCTCATAGGGTAACAGTGCCGACTTATATTCAGTATATGCCTTGTTCAAATATTGGTTGAGACATCCTTCTGAGATATGACGCTGTTCTGCTTGCCACCTGCTTTCATGCTGGTTTCTGGCTCAGCTTATTCTTTGACCCTGAAGATGTAGGTGATATGTTCCCCCAGAAATTTCAGTTGACCTTCAGTGGACCACATGGTGCTATATCACAGAAGACAGCACTCTTCATAAGCACTGCTGTGAGAACCTTTGATCCTACATACTGGCTATCATGGCTGAGATTTCTCATGGGTTCCCTGAGCCTCTCCCAGTAAATGCCAGTACAGTACCTTAAATAAGACCATGACTGCTTCCTGATGATTTGCAGTTACCTGTTGATTTATTCTGTCATTCACTGCTGTATAGCTTTAGCTGCTGATAGCATCATTTAATAAATCATAAATAAAGAAATAAGAAGATACCAAAATGAGATTAAATTCATATGCACAAGAATTTGAGAAATTATAATGGCTTTGCTGCTTTTATAAATCTGATTTATCCTTATATGCTTAAGGGAAAACCTTGCCATCATACCATATGTCTAAGTTACTCACTGGTAGTACACCTGTTGATTTAATTACCTTTTTGGATGACCACATTTATTGCAGAACCAAGATTTTGTGTTGGTAGTATGTAATCATTTCTCTATCCATGACAGTGTAACTGTTCAGACATAATATCTTTCATTAACTGACTGTATTTAGTCGAGCTGACCATTATATGAGGTTTGTGTTGATGCATATCATGTCTCAGAAATTCCATTTAAGTTCATGATAAATATACCTTTTTATTAGAATGAATAGCGAATCTGCATAAGTTCTTAGCCTGGGATTATCTGCTGAGCATATATTATGTTGATTATAGTTTCTTCTAACTTTACAGTCTGTGGCAAAACTATTATAACGTGTCCTATTTAACTCTAAACATGATCCATAATGTAAATACCACTGATACTGGTTGAGCATTAATGTTGCCTCTCTTAATTGCATGCTCAAGCATAAATAAATATATTAAATTATATTTGTATAAGCTTTGTTTCACTTCTGTTATGAGGCTGTCATTTCACCCTTATGATTACAGTTATTTTTGTCATTTGAATAGGGTGATTGGACGATTTCACAGTTCCAAAACCTTGTCTGAGTCTTCAAGTGTTGGATGACATCATGTTTCATTACATGATAGAGTTGTCTGTGTTGCTTGGTGTGAGTGATGCCAAGGTACTACTTCCATTTTTACCTTGGACTAAGCTCTCATGGCAGCTTAATTTATTCTCTGTTTTAACTTGTAGTGACAGAGGATTAATTCTTTTTGTGATTGATGTCCTGAAATTGTTTGTATGTCTGGAAGTGCAGTGTGTGTGTTTGTGTGTGTGTATGTATGTGGAGTATGCAGTGTGAATGTTTATGAGAAGATGCAGGTTTAGAACTCTGGATCATCCTATTGACCCTCATATATGTGATATGGTAACACATGTTTATGATGGTGGAAATGAAAGTGCAGTCACATCTACATGACTGAGAAACAAGCAGCTGTGTATTCTACTATGTTCCCCCTGAACTCTTGATATAACTGTTGCTGCGATACTTTTCTTTCAGCATTGTAACAAGTGTGGGTTTGAGTATTGTACTATGGGAGGAGTGTTACTGTATCTCCCTGTGATTGAAGACTTTAAATTTTCTTACCCAGAATGTTGCAGTTGTTAACTTTGCTCTGTTTATCCATATTCTCACCCTCATTAATTTCTCTGCATCTCACTGAGACAAGGTTTGCATATGTTACATAGTCTAAAGATGAAAAAAGGAAAACAACAACAGTATGTTGTCATTAAAGAGGTGAAAATAAGAACATTTCAATATTTATATGTTTCTGATGGTATGTTGCAATAAACTTGACTTATTTTTGACATATCCATTGCCTTGAGTTGTTTTCAGACAGAACATTTTGGTCACTGGTTCTGTTTCCATCATCTGATGTAAAGTAGAATTACTGTTTCGTTTTCTTACAGTTTCTTTTATAATCTTTGCTGGAAATTTTTCTCATTATCTCCTGTTGATGTTACCTGATGTTAACGGTATATACAGTTGGCTTAGAACCATCATTGATCATGATACAGACTAGCTGTTATTAATGGGCCCAATGTAATAAGAACCTTTCTACAAACAGTTTCTAAAACTTTTTGTCAGAAAACACTCAAGATAATGGACAGTGTCCAAAATAATGCACATGTTTAGGAAGATTCCTCCATACGTCCACTCCATACTCCTGTATTTTCTCTGTTTTTTAGTTCAGTTTGCAGTGCTGGATGGGTAATTTCCCATTTCTGCAAATCTGTACGTTCTTGTGCATGATGTATCTCAGTTGAACCTGTCTCAGTGAGTGGGAAAGAAAAACTAGTCTTAATATTATAGATATATATGTCAAAACTTTTTGTACTATACGCACTACAATATAAATTACATGCGTAATATATTAAATATCTACTCATGTTTACATACAGGTATTCTCATATATAGCATGAGTACATGTATGTAAATAAAGCTAAGTAATTAATAATAACATGAATAAGAATAATGAAGTATATACTGTACATATTATAATGTTTCAGTGCCATTCCTCTCTTTCCATATTTTCTCCCAACTCCATAACACATGAATATTTGTTCATACCAATTATACCTTTCTCCATAACCCTCCCCTAGTTTGTTGTGAATGTTTGCATTGTTTCAACATAAATTTCAGAAATTCTAAAATAAAGCCTATTATTTCCATGTGGAATGGTTTTATAAATACTTTTTTCCTTCGTTTTGTCCTTATGTTCATAGTAAAACCTGTCCTTTGTAATCAGCATCTGTTACGTAACAAAATTTTATATTTGAAGCATAAAAATTATTTCGCTAAAATCTTAGGCAATTATCTTTGCCAAATTGAGTTTCAGAGTGACATTTCAGGGACCTGCTTTGACTCCACACCAGGAACGATGTGGAGAATTACTATAGATTGCTTATATGTAGTAAACCCTCCACATTCACAAAATCCACAAATTCGTGTAATTTAATGTATCCCTATGCCACATTTGAACCACCTTGCCCTTTACAAGTACGCAAGCTTTCCACCTCAGTGATAACATAAATGATCAAAACCAAATTTTTTTCAGACCAAACCCTCAATATCTTCCTTCCCCAAACCTCTTCAGTCTTTCTCACTGAAGGATCTGCACTAAATTCGCCATATTATTGTAATATCATTATTACTAATATAGTATGTTATGTACAGATATTTGTGTATATTCTCAAATATTTACCTTTTCACTCTGTATGTTTTGTCATCCTATAAACCTAACAGCTTTCCATTGAATTGTGGTGTCAACATCTTTGAATTCCACATCTGCATTATGCAGGAATTGTAACCTTCACAAATGGGAAGTATTTACTATATATGTTTTTTTCAATCGGTATGGAGCACTCTGATTGACAAGAAGGTGAGATAAATATGTCAGGTACATACAGTCATTCCCCACATTGCCTCTGATGATGGAGACAGACCAGGTCACTCAAGTGTTGGTTTTTAAACTCAGTTTTAGATGCACCTTGTCCCTAAGAAGATTTTAGTGCATTCATTCAGTGTAAGAGCTTTGCATCTTATCTTAATGGTCTATTTTCAATGTTTCTCATTATTAACATTAACATGAGCTTCTCTAATGATTTTATAAGAATATTTATTTCAATTTGGCTTCATATTATAGGTATATGTGTAATAGATCAGGTGGTGAGATGGTTCTGACTGAGAAGATGAGCCGGGTTCCATCATAGGCTAGTCCGTGTCGGATTTGGATGTGTGGAACGACATGTTCTCTTGTGGATTGCAGTTTTCCCTGTGCCAGTCACGACTCCACTAATGTTGCATATTTGTCTTACCTCCTGAGATGAATGGTACACTGATCAAGCCAGCACATCATTGCAACCACAATTCTCAGTTATGGCTTTTCATCTGACATGGCACGTTGTCACACTTGAGGGTAAGAAATTTGAATTCCTCATATTGTTTAGGTACATGGAAACCCCCACTTAACCTTTATCATACAGGCGATGTGCTGGTTTATAAGGCACAGCATTGCATTTTTCTTAATATAAATACCTTTACTGCCATGTTTAAAGCTGGCTGTCATTGCTATAATAGCAGATTTAAATCTGTCCAATGAAGGTTACAGACACTTTAACACAGAAATTCTCTTGGCCTAATTAAAATTGAATGCTTGATGACAGAAAATCATAAATCAAGCAACATTAAATGGGGGTTCTGCTTTATTCATCATAGCAAAATGAAGTTTGTGTCAAGCATTATAAACTGTGCATTGGTTCAGATACAGAGAAGATTCTTTTCTCCAGTTAAATAGCTGTCAAGTACTATGAATTGTGTGCTAACTCCTCTAAAGCAGATTTAAAAGGGTTCTGAGTATTGAACAGGTCACCTACACATTTATTTTTCAGCATTAGTTACCTTAAACACCAAAGGAGAGTGTACCAACATATTGTACTTATTTATAATTCTTGTGGGAAAACTGGTTTTGTTTTATGTTAATCCCTTTAACAAGTTACTCCTTGGCTCTCTTCACTAAAATCCTTGGTCTCCTTCCCAACAAATGCCTATTCTTCTCTATTATTTGTTTTTTGCCTTCATGTTGTCATTTTCAGCTCTTAACAAATGCCATGCTGATGTGCCAGACAAAGTACTTTACAGGTATCCAGATTGTGTTTTCTGGGTTGTGAGAGCATGAAATTTCTCCATCTTCAGGGTCTGACTGAATGTAGAGAGGTGGTAGTTTGGTTATATGGGCAGGTCACAAGGAAGGTGGGCACCTATTTCTTTATTAACATTGCCATCCATATTGCACTCGCTTGATAGCCATTGCAAAAAATGGTGTGTAAAGCTGAAATATAATGCATTCTTGTAACCTTTGTTACCATGACATCATCAGTCATATATTCTAAACCAGTGTAAAACACGTAGACCATGTGTAAAACAGTGACCTTGTGATTCATATGATAAAGAGTATGCTTATATAGATATGCATAATATGAAGCTGACAAATTAAAAAAAAAGTGTTAAAATTGTGGAGCTAGGATAGAAATAGGAACTAAAAATTTTATTTTGTTTTTATAGCAGCAGTGTTGAAAAATTAGTGGTGTTTTGCAGTCTGGATCTTGTTATTCTCCTATAAACACTAGTCTCAGAAATTTCTTACCATGTGAAGATGACCAGTACAGGTTTAAATATGTACTGTATATGATTATTAGTAAATATTAAATAACAAAAATGAGTTCTGTTGATGGTACTGAATAAGGTAAAACATATTTTCATTTAAAACTTCATTATAAAGTTCACAAGTACCAACTACAGAGTTTTGTAATTTGATTGTTTTTCTTGCCTATATATATATATATATACACACACACACACAGTATTAAGGGAAGTAACAGAATAAATGGAGCTCAGACTTATTTTGAAACAAATGTTGTATTTTATTTGCTATACATAGAGTGACCCTACTGAATCCAAACCAAGGCAGATAGGTAACAGAATTTCACATAACCTTCTTCACAGCATCCAGAGTATCTTAGTTTTCCAACCATCTAAACAGTATCTATAACGATTCAAAACAACAGTATGAACTTAATGGTGTAAGTTATTAGAAATTCAGATCTACATTTTTTGGTTCAAATGTAGGATTACCCTGTAGGTCTATATTTAAATATTGTATAAAAATAATACACATTATACTTTATATAAAAATACCCTAACAACAACTAAAGCATAAACTCATATCACATATTTAGATAAAAAGTATTTACAGTGTATCACAATCTGCAAATAGGAACTCATCCCCAAGCCTTGTTGTCTGTAGTAACTGCAATGAAACATTATCACAGCTTTGCTGACATGTCAGTAATAATAGTAGTGGTGGTAGTAGTAAAACAATAACTAATTAAAATTCCAGTATTAGAGGCCCTGATTAATCTTTCTTTTACTTTTTAAATTTTATGAACATAAGGTTGTGGGGTTTTGAAGGATTAATCCTGCTGAAGACCATAACTAGGAAATAATTTTGGACAGAGGTTAACAAATGAATGAATGACATGTTGGACATAGTCAGAAGTGTACACATTTTGTTTGTGTATATTTATGAAGCCTTCTGTTATTTTATTATCATTATTGTGGGAACTAACACTGGGCCTTACCTCTCCACAGTATGTCTATGTAACATACATCAGGCAGCAAAAAGCATTCTATTCAAACAAAAATGGGAATATAATAGGATGAAGGAGTGGGTTTATCATAACAATGAATGGAGCTGATGCGACTTGGAGATAACGTACAGGAATAACTTTGAATATGAATGTACCTTGTGACTAGTTCATCACATTTCGGCTTCAATTAGTAATTCAAGCAGTTCATTTTATATTCTGTGTAACAAATTTGAGATTTGTTCGTTTCCCATTCTTCAAGATTTATTTGCAGAATATAGAATTTGTTAAAAGTTTTCCAGACCCTTGAACTAAATAAATGATTACTGAAGATCTGAGGTTTTCATAGTAGAGAGAACTTGGGTTATGATCTTCTGAGTTTTGACATTGTATGGTCACATGTGGTTACCAGTGATTTACAGTACCCTGAAGGTGAATGCTGCAGGTTCCTTCAAAATGCTATTAATCACTTACAAGGCTACACAGTGCCATAGCCCAAAAAACCACAAACTGGAAAGGATTATTGAAGCCAACAAAATTACATGGATATTCTAACTTATTCAAGCCATTGTATTTCTTGTACATATGGCAACTAAGTTAAATACGTAAAGTAAAGGTACAGTCGCTTGGCTTAATGAAGCATGAAGTCATGTGGGAGTGGCACAGTAGCTCCATGCATTCTTAATCTCACCACAATATGAAAGGGATTAGTCAGCTTCACTCTCTGGCCACTTTACCCTCAGGGAAAGAGTCCCCAATACCCACCAGATAGGCTGGGTGGGATCTAGAGCCAGTCTTGACACTGTGGAGAAGAGAGAAAGCTCTTGCCTCTACCTAAAATAGCATCCAAACTCCAGGTTACAATATGTAAGAAGCCAGTACAGTGTACAGTTCAGTCATAACAAACTTTTTCTGGCTGTGGTTAAAAAGAAAAGGAGAAATAATTCATTAATTTCATTCAGTTTTGATTTACCTAAAAGTCAGTGTATAAATACATCAATAAATAATAGTTTATAATATGAATAGAAATACTTAAATTGTTAGTAGGAAGCTACCAGATGATTTTTTTACAATTCAAGTATCCAAATTGTAACAAAGCATATTTATAATTTAGGAACTATTGTGTATAAATGTTTTGAGATGAAAGAGTTGCTTACTTTCATAGGTAGCAAAACTCTTATCACCCGATTAAAATGTTCTTGGCATAATGACTTGAAAGAACATTGAGAAGAGTAAAAATGCTCTCACCAAAATTTCCGTCTATGGTAGACTTCTAGTAATTCAGATACTTTGGCCTCTTTACACTATTGATGCCCTGATAAAATGCAGTCTGTTTGGTATGAACTGTCTTCAGACAATGTTGGCAGCTTGCGTTTCGTCGGATTGTTTCATTGATCTCCTGGACCTAAGTGATCTCTGGAGCATGCTGGATCGGTACATTTCTCCTCTCACAGATGCCCTGAGGGATGCCCTACCCACCTGCGAATTGCTTCTCTGAAAGTTGCTCCTCATTTCCGTCGAGTCTGCTTCATTTACAGTCCTACAAAAGATACATTTCTCTCATGTACAAATAGTAACATAATATTCAGCACGTAACTAATTTAAAGCTGAAGACTGAACAGGTGTGTGCGTGCGTGCACAGCACTATGTTATGGAAAGGATAAGTTCTTGCAAATGTGTCCATCATGAAATTTGGCAATCTTAATCTTTATTTTTCCATTGACTCCCATGTTGTAAGAGGAGATGTGTTCCTATGGATTTTTTTTTCAGTCCACAATTGCAATAAATTCAACTTTTTTGTCCAAGAAGTTGTGCTGCTTGAGGGCCTCTATCCAGACATTTTAAATAAGGTTAATACACTGTATAATTTAAAATGAAATGGGAACAGAAATCATGCTTACAGCTATTTCCTACATCAATAATGTTATACCATCTGAATATTTTGTGTGAATTGGCTGTTATTTTCTATTTGAAGGAGTTTTAATATTTGTCACAAGTTTCTGTAAGGACAAATTTATATTCTGTATTATGAATTTTACAGCCATGTTCTATAATTTCTAAAAGAATAATACTCCATAATTTCGGAGGCATACTTTGTATATGCATATATAAAGCTACAAAACACTTTCAGTATGATTTATATATACAAACAAAATGAAGGTAACTAACAAGAGAATTAAGAATTACTGACTGTAGTCATTATTAACTGAAGTTATCAACATCATTAGTTATTTAGCATCAAATTATATGAGATAATGATGCAATTTGGTTAAATTTGAAGGATTAGAGAGGAACCAGTCATGGCTTGTTTCAAGGCACCATCGTGGAATTCACATGGCAGCAATGAGGAACACCATGAGAAACCTCCCTCGGGATAATCAGTGTCTCTTCTGAAATCAAAACAGCATTTTCCATAGCTGTACTGCATGAGCCAGTTTGCTCAGTATTATTAACCACTGTGACCATCTGTCAAGACACAGTTTTCAGAACACCTGCATAAAGTAAGATAATGTGCATGCTCTACTTACATGACGCAACAAACCAGTATCCACTTGAGGAAGACAGAGAAAGTAGAAGAAGAAAGTTTAGAGCATTATTACTTCTCAAGTACAGTCAGTTCTAGAGCATTATGATGATGACTAGAGAAGGTCTGTATATATCAAGTCAGTTTGCTCAGAGTTAAATGTAAGCAAAATGCAACTCACTTAGTACAGCAGGGGAAGTCCAAGAATTTCTGGCCTTTGCCAAAGTTTTCTCCATCCTGCAGGGTTTGTGGTAATTCTTTGTCCAATGTTTCTGGAAGAAAGAGGGCCAAGAGCCCCCCAACAACTCCAAGAGTTCCCAACACCAACAGTGGAAGTATTGGGCTGATGTTAGCCTGCACACAATCAGCCAATATAAACCCTTTCACTCTTAGTACTCATACAGTGACAAGACCTGCTGAATTGTTCAATTATATGCTTGGAGAACTCAACGGGTGTCCTTTTACATTTTATATACTACAACATGAACATTCTGCAACCTACATACTTTAACCCTGAAGATGAAGGAAGCATGTTGGTCTTTGCCAACAAGACTACATCAGAGTGAATATCACTACCTGAGTTTAGTTCTCTTCAGGCTGATATTGCTATTGAAGATTTGGTGGTGGTGAATGTAGGAATGAACCTTTGGGTTTCGTAAAGAACAATGAATTTCTTGACGAGCTGAGCAGCTGTTCACTTCTCAGTAAGGAGTTAAGTTAAATAGGTATGGCACAAAAATATTTATTCTAATCTTTATGCAGTGTGTATCCCTTCTGCATTGCAAATGCTTCCACTTGGTAAAATGAATAAACATAAGTTTTGTGAGAAATTTAAGCCAGCCAGCCAGCTCCCCCCCCCCCAAAAAAAAAATTGGGGGGGAAGTAAAGAAATATACTAAATGTTAGTGATAAAAAATAAAAGTTTTTTTATATTCTATCCTGAGTCCTCTAGGGTGAGTAGTAATATTGGTCTTAAGCAACCTAAATGTAAGTTTGTAAGCAAATTTTCTGGTTTCACCCCAGAAGAAATGTGGTAGCATCCAGTTGAGGGGAGACTGCAGGGAGAAAGTATCGAAATAGACCAAATGATTGAATGGATAATTATAAATTAAACTAAAAAGAAATAACTTTGTTGGTTTTAACACAAAAATTGAATGTGAAAGTTTGTGGAAATGTAACAGAATGAACAAGAAGAAAAGGAAATTGAAGTTCTAATATGAAGAAAAGACACTGGGAACAGAAAAATTAATAGGGTGGTACAGAAGATGAATATCTGTGGGAAGACAGGCATGAGAGGAACAAGCAAGCTTTTTCACAAATGAAACCAACAGCAGAGGAAATATCTTAACAAGAATAAGAAATAGCAATAATCAGCAGATAATCTAATCCACATGTTTTCTTTTTCAGTTTCCTTATTGTGTTATAACTCATCTTTGTATTCATGTGGCATTTGGTTCTCATTAAAGACCAAAGACATGATAATGTGCTATCTGATCAGGGCAAGTGCACACCTCAGATTGCAGTGATAAATAAGTCTGTAGCAACAATGAAATTATAAGTAGCAGGAGTTCTCATTATGAACTAAAATTCAAACATGGAATCACAGTTTTTTTCTATCTCTGCTTGGATGTAATGTAAGGACAGTAGAGCAGAATCTGTTAGTAGACTTTCCCTCACCTCAGTAGTGCCAGAATTAACTGTAAAACCAATGTTAGGTTTGCTGATTAAGCAACACCACAGATCAGAGTCAGTCTTGTGAAAATAATAAGTGTTAAGCTAGGCAAAAAATACTCCACTTTATACAAAACCTGAAGGTTCATTACCCCCGCCACTGGAATCTGTCCTGAGCAAGATAAACCCAGTCCACATCCTTACGTTCTATAACTTAACTTGCAGTGGCGCACCATAGCTCAAGCACCGACTTCCCATCGCAGTGGCCCGGGATCGATCCTGGGTCTGGTCAAGTGGGATTTGTGGTGGACAAAGTGGCACTGGGGCAGGTTTTCTCCAAGTATGTTAGTTTCCCCTGCCAATCTTCATTCCACCAACTGCTCCACAATCACCCTCACCTATCATCTGGGGCTGGTCCAATAGGCCAGAAGTGGCTGCAGTACAAGGGACTTAATCCCGCCCCACTAGCATTAAAAAAAAACATCCATTTTAATACTTTTCTATCCCTAAGCTTCCAAAGACTTCTCTCCATCACATGTTCTGAGCAAGATGTCTGTACCCACAGTGCAATGAACTTGAGTGTAGACATTTTCATAGCTTACCAGGTAGACAACAAATGGAGCCAATATGCTGGCTACATAGCCCATAATGTGGATAAGAGCAACACCTTGTGCCCTCACCACAGTTGGCAACACTTCAGCTGCATACTGAAGCCCAATGTTGTAAGAGATGTTCACACTGAAGCGACCCATGATAGCAAGGGCAGCTGATGGTGCTCCTGCAAGTTAGACAAAACATGTTTCATTGTAGAGAAATTCTCTCCTTTGAAGTTACCACATCTGTGACAATGAAGAGTATGATCTTTGGGGTTGTAATAGTTCAGTAGATTCCCACCAACGTTTTCAGTGAATGTATCACCTCCGTCTTCAGGGCCAAAGAGTAACACAAGCAAGAAATGAGCAGTATATTCCTCCATATCATCAGTGGGCTCTACCAGACTTAAGAGGCCTGCTTGCCTTAATATCATTGTACAAAACATCTGAAAAGCTTCCACAAATTTGGAGCAAATTATTCACAACTTCAAGCAGACCTAACAGGTATAAAGAAAACAATTCTGTGCAATCCAAGTTCCAGGTCATAGAGAGGAAGTCCCAACTTAAAGATCAGGAATGTGATAATGTGCTGCCTGGTCAGGGTTATTGCACACTTCAGGGGACAGTGATGGATGAGTAGGGAGCAATGGTGGAATGTTGACTTAGCAGGAGAAAACATAAGAGTGGGAGAGTAACCTGCTTTAGTGCTACTTCATCCTCCATGGAACTAAAATTCATGTTGCTTGGATTGAAATATTACACCACAAAAAGATGAGGACATGAAAATGAAAATGGAGATAAGAACAGAATTATATTTACCGCACGAAAATTTAAAATCGACAGCCCCACACAGTCTAGAGACATAAGGACAGGAATATACAAAATTGTAACAGAAAAACAGGAAATGAAGTAAAGAAGGCCACAGAATGATAAAATTTAAAATGTATTGGCTCAAATAAGGCAGGCTAGAATGTGGCATAATACATATTGTGACGTGTTGCGCTATGGATGATGCCCCTCCCTCCCCGCCAGCCGTGACGTGCCGAGCAGAGCCGAAGTGAGCCGAGTCCCAGCACGCTGGTCGCTATGCAAAGCAAGTAAACACCGGTTGCTAAGCAAAGCGGGTAAACAGTGGTTGCGAGAGACGACGGAAATAACAGTGGTACCCATTACGTAATAGGCAAACAGGGCGTCAGATAACAGTGGTGCCTATTCCGTAACTGTTTTCCCATTGTCCGGCTGAGGGTTTATAAGGGAACTACACAGCCGCCGAAGACAGTTCTCAAGGCAGCAGTTAGTTATGAGTTGGCCAGGGAAGAGTATGCAGTTTAGTAATTGTAATACTGCAGATAGCAGTAGCTATGAGATTGTAAACTGTATGATTGTATGAGCGAGTGTGAAATAAAATTTGCTATATCCAATAAGGCATGAAGTTATTTGTCGCGTTATACACCCAAAACACGTGACAATATTTTAAACATTTTTGGAAATATAAGACACTGGACACTAACAGAAATTTTGTCAAGTATTCGAGCCATATAACAGAGGAACTGAAATAAGGAGGAGAGAAGATGTAATATTCTAGACCATCTTCTGTTGCTTCAAGGTTTGGGCCCTCTGGCTTGTTCTTTCTTCAGTTGAATTCATCTTTCTGTTTTGTTCTGTGACTCCATGTATATTTGTGTCCTTCCAGTTTATGATTAATAATAGCTGTTATTTCTTTAATAAGGAAAATAGACTAGAAATGCTAAAAATACCATATAGCTAAAATTTGACAAGGTGCCAATATTGAATAACACTAGACAGTGTTAGTCAGATGGGAGAAAGGTTGGATCAGCTGAGCTGATGTTCCTAAGATCAGTGGCTTGATTTACCCTTCTAGACTTAATGAGAAATACAGAAAAATTAAACCAGTTAAATCAGTGGTTCCAAACCTTTGTCAGATCATGGCCCGACAAATTCTTTTTCCTATAAAATGAGGGCCAGGTAGTGGGCCCTCTTCTTATAGAGAAACAATGAGTTAGACATCTATAAGCTAAATGAGCAAAGAGAAAACAGTTCTGTAGATTATGAAATGCTTACCAGTTGGAACAGCTGTTGCTAACAGACTGAAAATTCCACTCATCACCATAGACCCACAGGCCAGCCATCGACGACCCCACTTGTCTAGTACCATGGTTAGCACAGTATCAGCTGGCAGTTCTGTGGCACTTGCCACTGTGAATGTCACAAACAAGTCTAGGCCCAGACTACCAACATTCCGTACATGGCCATCGAAACAAAGTGAAATTGCCATCCTGTAGAAATTTATACATGCCACATAAATACAATTGGATTGTCTCCTATTTATGAATTCATAATAAGGAGCTTTATAAATTTCACTCTTCTCTGAATATGATTAGAATATTCAAACCAAGGAGGATGAGATGGGTAGGACATACAGCATGGATTGGGAAGAAGAGGAATGCGTGTAGGATTTTGGTGGGAAAGCAAGGCAGAAAGAGACCACTAGGAAGAACTAGACAGGTGGGAGGGTAATATTCAAATCAATCCTAGAGAAATAAGATGTAATAATGGACTGGATTAACATGGCTCAGAATAGGGACCAGTGGAGGCTCATGTGAATACAGTAAATAACCTTCAGGATTAAAAAAATATTAGGAAATTCATGAGCACTGATTGATGGGCAGTTTCACAAGAAGGACCCAGCTCCATGGAGTTAGATACATAAGTTCCATAGAAAGAGACATCAACTGGTCTGAAATGTTCACCTAGTTTGGCTCAAGCAGTATTTTGATGGTGTCTGGTTCAAAACTCAGCTGAGACACCAACTAACCTGACTCAAGTTTTTCAGGGTTTTCCATAGTCCCTGCCAGAAAATTCTAGGGTAGTGCCTCAAATTAAGCCATAGCCAATTCCTTCCACAACCTTCCCAATAAATTCTTCACCAATCCTACTATCATTCAATACCATACACTCTGAGCTACTGACAACATTAGTAAATAAGTAAAAAGTAAATGAACTGAGATGTAATCATAAGAGCTACAGATTGAGCTCTGGATTGATGAAGCCCTTATAACAGTTAATTTGTGTTCATATTTCCATTCTGTGTAATCATAAAAATGTAGTAACCTAAGAAACTTCTTATAACAAAGATATTCGACCATGTATGATTAAAAAACTTTTGTAGTGCTCAAATATGATTATAATGGAATATCTGGAGTCTGAATAACAAGCATTAAGAACTTCAAAATGATGATTCCAGGACTCTGTGTATTAAAAATACTGTCCATAATGTTTATCATATATGAAGTAAATTTATGCCATATATTATTAGAATGATCAAATCAAGGTGGATGACATATGTCAGAGACTGAAGAAAATGATAAAAATCTCAGTCAGGATAGATGTTTTCCCAGTCAAGATTCGAACTAAGCACCTCTCAGATTCATTCTAGCACATTACTGCTACACCATTTTATGTGATGTTCCAATATCTTATATTAGACATGTTTTAGAAATTTGTCAGAATGTGACTGCAGCTTGTAAAGTTTATAGTGGACCAGAAGAGGCTAAAATTAAATGACAGTATCACTGTCAAATCTTACACATTAACATCGAATGTTCTATGGGCTGAAACATGTGGGTGTATAAATATGAATCCATTATTCAGTCAAGTTGTGATGCACTGGCTGCAATGCATGGCGGCAAAATGTACTGATAAATTAAGTGTAAGTAATTAATGTTACAGAAGAATAAATTTATCTGGTAATATGAAAATGCTTTGAGGCTTAGCTTGACTAGAAACATACCAAATGACAATGAGGAGAAGTGTTGTATTTCGAAGATGAGGGCTCTTGAACAGGTCCAAAACAGAGTACACTTTGTCTGCTTCTTCTTCCTTCTGGAGCTTTTGACAGCTATCCTGTAATGGTACAAACATTTCATAGTAACTTATTTCTTGGACTTGAGATTCTCACAGCACTGACTTCAAAGAATAAAGTTTTCTGGGTTGTAATGCCATGACTTCAGTGTTGCTTTGAAACAATGGTGGACCTCAGAAAATTGCATAGTGTTACAACTGGGAAGATCATACCCTTCAGTGTTTTTCTTACATGACAGATACTCTAATTCCAAAATCTAATAGTGGCTGAAGATGGTGAAGTTTCTTGAATGATCATATCTTTCATTACTGGTAAGAGTAATATGAGAACTGAAACAGAAGCACATTATTCTGATATCTGGTCCATGTTTGAATTTGCAAAACTGTAAAACAGACACCATTACTCGTATCAGAGTGCAACTGATGCAAGTGCAGGACCTTTCAGGAGTACGCAGCAATAAAAGTGACTGATTCATTGGTAAAGGGACGATCTGAAAACTAATTTAGGGACCTTAACCAGCATTTATCTTATTAAATAAGAGTTCTTATATGTGATGTTAGAAAATGGAGGAATATAAAGAAGCTCAAACAATGGAAGTGAACTGCTGGGTAGAAACATATGAAAAGCTGCTTCTTCCATGGCTCTTTGCAGTATTATTTATGACAGAATTACTGACAGGATATTGTCACTTCAAAGGACACTGATTCAGACTGGGGTTAGTATATAACCCGGTGTTCAGTGTATTCTCAGCAACACCAAAAACTTGCATAATGTACTACAGTGGAACCATCTTCAATATTCCTCAATTTAACGTTTTCCCTCATGTAACATTCAATTGCAATCATCCCACATCAATAATTTCAGTGTTACACTTCTTTCGTTTAAGATTTTTCTTGCTTTAGTGTTCACACCCACTTCTTCCCAAAGAAAACATAGGGGTGGGAGGGTTTAGAAGGGTGATATAATAACGAGCTCCTGGAGTGACTCAAGACATCATCACTTATGAATCCATTTCAGAAAGCCATGCAACTTCTACAAGATCCCAATAAGCAGACTACACTCCATTTGTTCAAAGTGCAAGAGTTTATTTGTGCCTCTCCTTAATCCAATCTGATACATTGTGGTAAATTTGTCCCCTTATATTACGTACATTATCTGTTAATCACTTACAATAAATTTAGTGTAGATGTGAGGCTCAGCTTCAACACCATTAATTTTACCAAACTTCTTCAATATACAAACTGCCTTGTTTAGATTTCCTTGAGATACAAGCCACCTAAAACAGATCATACTAGCATTATTAGAAGTCACATTCAAACACATCCTTTCATGCATTTCTGATACTCTGCATTAATTTCAATTCAGTACATGTATGACATTTATATGTATGTGCAAATTAGGTATGATATATGTTGTTTCCAACTTTAAAATGAAGAGGGAAATTATATAAGAGATTAACTATGAACTAGTTCATCATTTATATGTCATGAGTTCAGGCTTTTCTCATTCAGTTTTAATTTGAATTTAGAACTATCTTAGGAAACATGGGACTTACCTTGCACTCTCTGGTACAATCCATGGAGTAATGGCTGCAAGAATTAAGGGTGCAGAAGTAGCAATACAGAGCAACTTCCAATTGGCAATGTAGTATGCCATCCAAGGCAGAAGACATGAGGCCATTGTGAAGTAGATTGCAATTGACATGTTGGCCACAAAAGTTCTCCACTGTGGTCCCACATATTCTAGAACTGTACAAATTCAATAGTTAGCAAATGCAAAATGCAGAAGATTTTGATATAAGAGAATAGGAGGAGTAAAATTGAAGATTTATTATTTATGTATTATTTATTTAAGGATTCTGTCAGTGACTCAAAGTATATAACATTGAATACTAGGGAAATTAATGAATTGGATAATGTAAGGAAAAAATCAGTCATAGCCTAATTTGATGTATTTGCCTGGAGGTATTGGGGAAAGTCATAATAGCCTCCAAATATGGCTCAAGAGTACTGCCCACTTAACCCTGAAATTAGGCCAGTGGATGGCCTTCAGGAATATGTCCAAATAGTACCTCAGATTAGGAGATGGCTACTTCCTTCCAAATCGTTTCTATTTCATTATTTACTGATCAGTCCATCATTCAGTGCTGTGCAGTCTGAACTGCAGAAAGCATTGTTAAATAAATAAAGCAAAAGAAATTTGTGTGAATTATGAAATATTTATATGTAAAGAAGAATAATATTAAATATTACTTAGTTCATAAATCAATGGTACTGCCATGGGAAATGCCAAGATGATTAGTCTTGAATCAGGAAGCTAACCTTCATCAGGATATATGGTCATTGATGGCGTTGTTTATTTGAAGTCTCTTTTTAATGTATATATGAACACTGCCATTAAGGAATAACTAACTCAATGGAGATGAACCCTTCTTGAGAAGCCACAAGTTATGCAGCTACTCAAGAATTTCCCAACATTTTATGAACCCGAAGGTTCATCACTGTGTTCACAAGAGCCCTCCACTAGTCCCTGTCTTGAGCTAGATCAATCCAGTCTGTACCACGCTATCGTATCTCTTTAAGATTAATTTAGTATTATCTACCCACCTACATCTTGAACCTCCCAGTGATCTCGATCTTATCTTTCCTTCTGGCTTTCCCACCATTAGGAAATAGCAGAACAAATCTAAAAGCATTTTATTTTTAATCATGTAAGCTGAAATGTCTGTTATGTGCAGATAATGAATTATGACAAAACCATAATGTGATTTATGGAAAGTAACATCCTTGTTGTATGAAATAAGAAGAGATTGCAGTCTTAAAATTTCAACAGTGAACAATAAGAGTAGAGGGTTTTTAAAGAAAGCAAGTCAGTTAATTTAATTAATAAGGATATTGGATATCATTTTTACCCCAGTATGATGTGAAGCCCATCTAAATAATATTTTGAAAGTTGGCTGTTCACTCCAAGACAGGGGTGGACATAGCATTTTGGAAGTAATAGATGCTCCATCTATGTTAGTAGAAAAAATCAAGAGAATGATCAAAATATACTAAAAGTAAATTATTATAATGCAACCTCATGAATCTGTTCCTACATGTATCACTGTGAACAATATTTATTACATCGTAGGGCAATGGAAATAGCTTCCTCAAAATGAAGTAGTCTGGAACTAATTATGAAATTGTAGGCTGTTCATTGTCTCAAATTAAAATTATATAACATTTTGAAGCAGCACATGTGCTCCTGTTATTTTTAAAGTAGGAAGGATCCTATTCAATTGGGTCCCTTAGACAACCTGTGTCAAAGAGGCCCAATGGACTATACTCTCTCATTTTTATACCTGATGATGGAAACAGATCTAGGTTCTGAGATGTATAATTTTTAATTTAACTAAGAAAATGGACAGTGTGTTAACATAATTGTATAATTAATAATGGTCCGTTGTCACAAACATTTAGCGTATTGTTCTGGAACCAAGTATCAATGCTCATTTCCAGCCTGAGTGACAAGCATACATATCTGCATCACAGTGGTCAACAGTGTTCACAAAAACAGTCGCTATCTATTTTTAGAATAAACAAAGCTGACAAATAAACCCAGTGGACAAAATGCTATGTCATTAATGCATATAATTACCATTGCCATATAAAGAGTTAAACGAAATGATAGTACTGACATTTAGAAATTAATTTCACGTAGGTTCCTTGTGGATAAATTAATTTGAATTGTTTTGGTCATACAAATAATTCTTGTTAGTTAATAGGTAATGGAAACGTTACATGCTACAGGAGGTGAATGCAAAGGAGTAAATGGCCTTGTTTTCTTTCCTTGAAATTACAGATCAATGTATATTTTGGGTGTGGCAGATGTGTGCCAGGCATAACCTTGCAGTGGAATGCTTCTGTTTTTGAAATACATAAGGTATACTGTCTTCTCGGATGTGACACCATATAGTTTGGTATGTTAGGTGACAGCATTGTGGAATCTGCTGTATCAGCCTTCTGTTCTGAAGATGGTTGCAGCAAGTTCTTCCCAGACACCGGTACCTCTCTATCAAGCTTCATCATATCACATATCAGAAGACCATAAAGTTAATACTCACATCCATGAGAATCTCATATGTCATTCATAATTCTTAATTATTCCGTTACATTTAGGTAACCACTTAACTGATAGATACAGAACAATTGACAGTTTAACTCACATATTCAAGGAATGCTGTCTTGTCATGGTATAGAGAAGTTCAACATACGTGTAGAACTCTATGTTCAGTTTTTAGTTTAATTAGTTTACCTACTTGTATTCTGTTTCCAAAAATGTGCTGAAATGCTCCTGATACCATTTTTCTTATAATAAGAACATCATGCTGAAAACATTTCTTTCAGGTACATTTGATATGCACAACCCTTTCACAAATGGCTTTACTCCAATCTTCATATGATTTTTGGTCGAAATGCTGGGGAATCTAACACTATTATTTCCCGTATTCTTATTAGGAATGAGAGTTTCGATTGAACTAAGTCTTTGTAGCATGGAAGATAGAACATTAAAATTGATCTTGATTAATTAACTGAATCTCTGGTATTAGAATCCATAGGTTCAGTACCTTCCAGACAAAAATTTATCTCCATTTGTTCTGATCCTAAATCAGTTCAATTCAGTCCTCATTCTGTGGTTTCTCATAATTAATGAAACTTCGTGTTTCGCAAGCACATATTTTCTTAAAAAATTGCATATTTATAGTTATTGGTGAAGGAATTTACACTCCTGACAATTTTCATGAACTAAACTGATCACAGATGTATCCACACAAGCACCCACATACACAAAGGGCTTTTTTTTTATGTGTGTTTCCCTTCGGTTTTAAGATTCAGACATAAGAGTGCACCGGTAGATATGTGACTCCTGACAAATTTGTGGGTAGACATCAATTCTTTGGCAGCATGCTTACCGACTTAAAATAGCACCGTTTCTGTTTATATGAACACCCACATAAATTGCGTCATGTATGTTGGCCATTACCATAAACTAATTAGGGAAATTCTTTAGTTACGAAATGGCGGGTCAAATCCAGTTTCATTGGCAGTATGAATACATTATAATCAATAGCAGTATAGTTATTAGAATGCATAAAATGAGAAGGGATAGATCAGTTGGTTTAGGGACAGGCTACGGGCTGGACGACTGAGTTCAATTCCTGGCATGGTTAGGGTATGTTTCTCCCCGTGCACAGCGTCCAGACTGGCTCTAGGGCTCTGTCCCCGGAGGTAAGGGGACCGGGGCATGAAACTGACCATTCACTTCTGTAGAGTGCTGAGGCCAAGAATGGTGGAGGTACACCTCCACTCCCCCATACATCTACATGGCGTGGTGCTTAATTAAGCTCAGGGACAATTTCACCTTTACATTTTTAACAGGATTCAAGAAAATCTTCATTTTCAAGGGCTATTCTCCTCCTAAATGTCCCTGCACTTGGCTAGTTTAATCGAGTTTCACCAGCAGCCTAAAGGCAAGCCTGTTCGATATACTCTTGTTGGGTCTAAATATCTTATTAATTATAGTACTACAGGATACGGTTTAATTGAACTCAAGGTCAACAAACCAAGGAGGTGGTATAGTTACGTAAGAGGTAGCATGAACTGCCAGTAAAATTAAACAAGTGAAAGGAGGAAGTCCTCACATCTGTACTTCTTTCATAGGCTTGGACACTGAACAGAGAGAGAACGGAATATTCGTTCAATTGATGCTGTCCTTCAGCTTTATGACACATTAGGTATGGTTCACTGGTGAACACTTAGCAGAAATACATAGTGGAATCCATGGTTTTTATGCAGTTTTCGTATTCTTGAAAAATTTCCTTCCTCATGCAAATCATTTTATAATGAGTAGGCTTAGACGCAAGGTTACCTACCTATCAACTAAATAATATTCACCTTTGTGGCAAATGAAGATTGTGAGTAAATTCAGAATCTAAATATAAATTGAAATGATGCTAACTGTTTCAACTGGATGTCATGAACCGCCCTGTATCTCGGCAAAACAGTTCCTGTATACAAGTGCATAAGAGAATCTATCTATCTGCCCACCCGACCGCATATACGTTCCATCTCTGAAAGTGCAGGAGGAATTTCAATTAATAAACTCCCCGTTATCCTGAATGTTTGGGGAATGCGGTCTGCCGATTTAATTGGCTGCGTGAGAAAATCTCTCACAAAAACCAAATAAAACGTCAAAACAATACGATATGTCTTCGATCTAGTTTCTCTGTGTAACGCTTCCTAGGTGACAGCAGATTGGTAGTTAAAATCATTCAGTAAGTTTCCACTATAAAGGCATCTACTTGAAGGAGGATGGTGCACGCGGTAGCGTAGTTGGTTGACGAACTACGCTACAAGTCAGAAGGTCGCGAGTTCGAGTCCCGATGAGGTAGATTTTTTCAATTTATTTAATCCGTCCAGCTGCAGTATGGCCCTGGGGTCAACTCAGCCTCTAACAGAAATGAGTACCAGGAATCTTCCTGAGGGGTAAAGAGCAGCCGGCGAGTAAGGCTGACGACCTTATCGCCCTCTGTGAACCGATTGTATAGAAGATGTGAGAACCTCAACCTCTCACCTGTCAGCTCGAATCAGCCCTTCCATCCGCTGCACAATTGCTTCTGGCGCAGTCAACAGGGCGATCTAGTCGGGCATCGTCTGAGACTTTCGAACGTCCTTGAGAAAATTTCTCGACCCAGTTGTGAACGCTTTACGCGACAAACACTTTCCGCCGTAAATATGGAACATTTCTTTATGAATATTCTTCGCATTGGGTCCTTTTTCCCACAAAGAAAAACGCACAACATAACATTGCTCTTCGGTAATACACTCCTCAATCACGGTCACCATTTTGACTACTGAAACAAAGTTCTGGGCAAGCGCATCTCCTACCTAGACTGTCATGAAGCTGGACTATGCTGGTAACTACTGATAACACACAGAATACCTACTCGTATTACATCAATTACAGCTGTTTTACTTCCATTTGTGACCTATTGACTTTCCCTCGTACTTTTATGTATTATCACTCCTACGTGTTATCCTTTGCTTCTACTGTTACTGTTCCAGCTTTAACATCAATTACACTTGTTTAGTAAGCGCAGCGACTGGGTAATGGGTTGGACGACCGAAAAAACGGGGTTCGATTTCCAACAGGGGCAAGAGACTTCTCAACAACATCTGGACCGGCTCTGGGGCCCACCCGGCCTCCTGTCTAGTGGGTACCAGGGTTTCTTTCCGCGGGGCTAAAACGGCCGAGGCTTGAAGCTGACCAAGGTTAGGAACGCTTGGCGCTGTACCTTCACTCCCCATACATCTTCATGCCGTGGTGCTTAATCAAGTATACGCGTAAATTTGAAAATTGTTAAAATGTACATATTGATAACATATGCAACATTTGAGATTCTCGTGGCATATTAATGCCTCCTAGAATGTGACGTCATGTAGTTCTCTAGATAGATACAAACGTTTCGGACGAACTGCTGCATCCAACTTCAAAATACTCGGCTTCACATTCCAAAAGACTATATAGGCCTGTAGTTAAAATGGACGGCTGGCCACATAGCAGGATTTAGTATGATTATATATGGTGTGTGCGAATCCGGAAATGTCCACAGGCAACGTGCGTCCTTTCCGGTAAGGGTAAGCTTGTACTGTTCTGGGTTCCTGGTCATAATGGGATTTAGTTATCGAGGTTGCAGATTCCTTCGATAGTAGGAATCTAGTGATTCAATCCTTGGCCACAGACAAACAATTTCTACACGGCACCATATCCCAGAAGACGGCTTTCTTCATAGACACCGCCGTGAAAACCTCAAATCTTACAAACAGTTTCAATTTCGTCTTGTGTTACGAGGTTCAGGGTTAAGGTAACAATTGGAGGAGAGTCGCTGTCAACATTGACCTGCCACGTCAAGTACGAGATAGCTTAAAGCTCATCATCGAAGTATCTTCGGATAAACTGTTCAGGGACGTACTGGCCTTGAACAGGAAGCACTGTAGGCTGATAACGTGGTTGATTCTAAAGGGTTCTGACGATGGTGGATGAGACACAGAATTATTGGGGTTTTGGAATTTTTCCATTGTCCGGAATTCTAGGTAATACAGGACACGATGTTTCGGAAGCGATCTGTTTCCGTCTTCATGTTTGAAAGGACGACACCTGCTCAGGGTCCAGTTATTGAGATTAGCTCTTTCTAAGGGGCCCAACTGAGTAGGTGTCTTCCTTTCAAACCTGAAGACGGAAACCGAGCCAGTTTCCGAAACGTCGTGTCGTCTATTACATAGATTTCCGAACAATGGAAAAAGTCCAAAAACCCAGTAATTCTGTGTGATAGCAGGGCTGTTGACTGACCGCTGTACATTGAGGCGGCATCCAAATGTTAAGAGACTCAGAACGCGTCGTGTCCATGAAATGTGGACAGGCACATACGTGTACTTCGTCAATGCCCATCTTCGGATCTGCATGGCCAGAGCCGATAAATATGGGAAGGTCCTCAGCAGAGTGCTGCTAGCTCTAACATTATCGTCAGGGCTTTGTGAGAGACCTGAACAAGATCAGGGCTGCACAGTTAACCAGAAGCTGTCTGAGTGCGTGGGGGGGTCCGAAAGTTGTCCTCGTAAGTCAATACAAGTACGTAAATGCAAAACCTGAAACCAATGATGAAGGGTTCACCAAATTCCTGCTATAGTAGGAATACTTTGAAACATTTGTTTTGGATACATTTTAGTAAAGCCTCTAAAATTTTACGAAAATGAACTTGTTCCGTCCATGATCACATTTTATTTATTTATTTATTTATTTATTTATTCGTTTGTAATAGAGAACAATGGGCATGTGTCATAAAGAAAACCAAGGTTATTAAAGAACTGAACGACCAAGAAGGAAGTATTTATTTGTTTAGTTACCTGCTTATTTATTAACTTAATTGTCTGTTTATTACTGTATTTGGTTACTAACTTTGTCAGTTTTAAGAATATTGCCCAAATATACAAGAAAGTTCAGCGGACTTTACAAATTCGTGAATTCGCCGCTCGGCCACAATCTGACTCTGTTCATGGCTTAACCCTTCTAACGTACCGCCTCAGTAAGTGGACGGAGGGCTGACATTACGCTGGACTATCGCTCGATTACGAGAAATAAGAAATATATACACAATTTTAGTCACTAGTTGGGAGACAAAACAAAAAAACAACTTCATGGCCTGTAGTCCGCAAGCGAACTATACCGACCGAGCGACAGCCGCTTGTCGGAGAAGTTAGTGCCAACTTTTGCGGATAAAAGGTGTCACATGGTCAACGCAACGGATCCCCACGGCCGTTAATCTCGGTTTCTAGACCAGATCCCCTGTTTCCTTGAAATAGCTCTTCAGTTATCTTCACTAGTCTGAGTGGACCCCACCCCAGACCCACTGCTTCTCAGGAAATCTGATAGTGCCGGGAATCGAACCCGGGACTTCTGGATCTGTTTCCAGGAACTCTGACCGCTAGACCACAGAGGCGATCCCTAGTTGAGAGACAGAAATTGGAAACATTATACTGAAATTAATCTTGACTGTTAGATGGTAATGATAATGCTTTAATATTCGTTATCTCAACATTCTGAACACACATAACTTGTAGTTATATGATTTCTTTGTTTTCATATATTTTACTGAATGACTGATCAGTGATATAGAGATTCTATTTGTTTTCTTGTAAATTTGACTGAATATTTAACCATTATTTGTAGGAGATTTGTTTTTCACTGACTCTACAGCCCCCTTGGGCCCTGGCTTCCGATTTTTTAGTTTCGTGACCATTTTCCAGACGATAGGACTCCTTGTACGAGTGATCAGCTCGTCACAGGCCTCTACCTAAACACCACACAACACAAACACAGAATAAACACACATACCAAACATCCATGCCTTGTGTGAGATTCGAACCCACGATCCCGGCTTCCGAGCAACTGAAGACTGTACATGCCTTAGACCGCTCGGCTACCGTGATCGGCTTTGTATGAGATATGCTTTTTATAAATTTAAGAAAGTAATTATCTTTTAATCTAATTGGATTGAATTGGCGCAGGTTAAATTTCATTGGTTTTCTGTTTATATTAATTGTGTCCAAGCTTAGGGCTGTCGAAATACTCGTAAATAAGTGTCTGGGCGATAACAGCATGAATACCGGAACACAAATGGTTTAATCTGTGAAGTGAATCATGTGTTAGACAGGACACACAAGAAGTCGGTGTATGTCGGGTCAGTATAGCGACTATGCTATGGGCTGTGCGATCGAGGAATTGGGGTTCGATTCCAGGCAAAGGCAATGCTTTTTCTTCCCCACAGCGTCCAGATCGCTCTGAGGTCCGCCCAGCCTCGTTTCTGACGGGTACCAGAAATTCTTTACCTACAGATAGTGTTGCTGCAACGTGAAGTTAAGTAACCACTCCATTCCCTCGTGGCAGTGTCGTTAAATAAACACGGATTTTGTCTCTTTTTTCCCCCCTTGTCACTACAGCCCCAGTGGGCCTAGGCCTACCTCCATGAACTTCTCCTTTCACGGATTTTGTCTTCGCAAGCAATAATATCCTTCACAAGTTGTAAATATTCTAGAACACGGGTGGGTAAACTTTAGAGCCGAAAGGCCGGATTAGTGGTTGCAAGTGTTTTCCAGGCCGAAAATATGTCAGCGCAGTATTTTAATGCGCACCAATTACCTAAACTAAACTTCTTACGTTCCTGTGAAAATTCTTCACTGCATTTCTAGAGCTATTTAAAAAAAATCTTACTATGAATTAAAAATTATATTACAGACAATTTTTTCATAGTAATTCAGCGGGCCAAATAAAAGACTTGCATACATTGTTCTGTCTCAAGGGGGAAAAAAAAACTAGTACTTACCCAGAATATACATCATGGTGAAACAGTTATCGAAAGCAAGACCAACCAGAAATCGACACAAGCAGAAGGCCCAGAATGTTGTGACAAAGGATGTGGCAATCCCTGCAACGAAACCTATGATATTGGTCCAAACCAATGCTGGGATTCTTCCATAGCGATCAGCAACCCATCCAAAAATCAGTCCTCCAAGAATTGCTCCAGCAAAGAACACGGCCTGTGCTATCGTGGGAAATGCTGCCTTATCACAGACCCAGCCAAGCTGAAAGTACAGAATATCATAGCTGTAGTGCATTTCCTCCACCTGAGAGACAGAATTTGATGGAAGATGTGCGGATAGAGCAGCCGTACAGACATTACTTACCTTTACCATTCAAAGGCTAATTCGTGTATTTAGTAAGCGGATAATCTCAGTGAAAATTATTACAGTTCATCAATTTTTATGTATGCTAGCTATATAAGTTAAAAAACTACTACTGCGCCCACCGTAGATTATGTGTGAAAATGTGTTTTTATGTTGGTACCACACAGAGAATTTTACTCTTTAGCGATGACTTCTATTCTGATAGTATTCTGATTTTGACAAAAATAGCCGTTAAATAGTTCATGGACATAGGTGCTAGGCCTCGTGTGTGTGGAGTTTTTTTTAGTTTATTTTATTACTTGTCTTAACCCTCGCAGCTGGCTTGTGCTGTGATTTCTTTATACTGTATATCCCACTCTTTGTTGGTGCTGATGTCAGGAAATAGGAACTAGCTCTATAGACTGGGCCCAACTCATAGGTTACACCTGCAGACGGAGACGGTATCCGTTCTCCAAAACTTTGTGTTTAAACAAAAACAAGGCGATTGATAATATCCAGAAACACAGTAATTGTATTAATATACCATTGTCACAGACCTTTAGATATTATTGAACACAATGGTAAACATAGCTCATTAAATGCACTGAAATATTTTTCTAACATAATTTCCTAGCACATTGTTGCATTTATCCCAAAAATTCCGTTGAGGTTGAAATCGGGCTGTCGCATTCGCGACCTTTCACTGACGGCCATTTCCACTTCATTATTGCAGAATCGGCGACCTCCCAAGTGTTGCCATCTGTTGCATGTTACCCCTACTCCTACATTTAGCAAGTGCTACCACCTATTGAAAAGATATTTGATGAACACAAACGTTACAGGCTAGGTAACCTTAGTTATTGAACATCCATCATGCTTTCCAATTGCATGTGTTTATGTTGTATCTACGAGTATAAGAAAGATTCAGTTTCGAATTTTATAATGTTTGGTTAAGATTTTTATTTAGATCGATAAACAAAAGATAAGTATGAGGTTGGCAGGTCATGTAACACGAATGGGGGAGACAAGGAATGCGTATAGGATATTGGTGGGAAAGCCAGAAGGAAAGAGACCACAGGGAAGACCAAGACGTAGGTGGGTGGACAATATTAGAACGAATCTTAGAGAGACAGGATGGGATGGTATGGAATGGATAGATCTGGCTCAGGATAGGGACCAGTGGAGGGCTCTTGTGAACACGGCAATAAACTTTCGGGTTCCATAAAATGCTGGGAAATTCTTGAGTAGCTGCAAAATTGGCGGCTCCTACCAGAAGGGCTCAGCTCCATGAGTAAGTAAGTAAGTAAACAAAAGATAAGTACGTGAAGTGGTAACTCTAATTGGATAAAGTGATCCAAGGGATACGTGCTTACAAATAATGAATTGGAAGATACAAATTCTTCTTTTCTGTAAGTCTTTTACCTCCGAAGCTATTGTTGAGTAGGGGATATCTGTATAGTTGAATTCCCATCCGTATCTGCAGCCTACAGTAGGCCATGACGAGTCACCTTCTGTAATTCCTTTGTCCCGCATCTCTGTAAAATTCACTGCATACATTCTGCATTTATCATATCCTGATTTGTCCTCATTAGGTGGGATAGCCAGTGATATCCTGCAACAAGAAACAATTAGTGTGTAGCCTTCACATACCAAATGCTGTAATACGACTGGATATTTAAGTACAAATGTCACACATAATACTCGAACTTGTAGAAGGTTGGCTAATGAATTTTCTTTAGACTCAACTGCAATGGTTGTTCTCAGCTGCCAGCATTCTAAACAAATTAGAACTGATATTTATAAATCAAATTTTAAAAAGTAAAATTGTCCCTGTGCCACATTTTATCAGATATTAGGGAACGACGATAACAGATAAAAAACCTGATCCAGGAAGAAATTAAGAGGAGATTGAACTCGGGTAATACTTTCTACCATTCAGTCCAGGACCTTTTGTCTTCTCGTCTGCTGTTCAAAAACATAAAAATTAGAATATACGTAAAAAACTATAATTTTACCTATGGTTCTGTAAGGGTGTGCAACTTTGTCTCTAACATTATGGGAGGAACATAGACTGAGGGTGTTGGAGAGCAGGGTATTGAGGAAAATATTTGGACCGAAGAGGGATGAAGTGACAGGAGGTTGAAGAAAACTGCATAATGAGGAGCTTCATAACTTGTACGCTTCTTCAAGTATAATTAGAAAGATCAAGTAAAGGAGGATGAGGTGGGCAGGGCATGTAGCACGAATGGGGGAGAAGAGAAATGCATATAGGATATTGGTGGGAAAGCTAGAAGGAAGAGACCATAGGGAAGACCAAGACGTAGGTAGGTGAACAATATTAAAATGGATTTTAGAGAGATGGTATGGATTAAATTGATCTGGCTCAGGATAGGGACCATTGGAGGGCTCTTGTGAACACGGCAATAAAACTTCGGGTTCCATAAAAAGCTGGGAAATTCTTGAGTAGCTGCAGAATTACGGCTCCCCAAGAAGGGCTCAGGTCCATAAGTAAATAAGTAAAGTTGTCCCTGTGCTTAATCAAGCATCGTATCATGAAGACGTATTGGGGAACAGAGATATAGATTCACGCTATGGCCGCTTTACCCCAAGGGATGGAGACCCCATAACTTATTGAACAGTAAGCCTCATGGAACCCAGATCCAGTTTGGACGCTGTAGAGGAAAAGACCTCTTGCTTCTGCCGGAGCACGTCATGCTCCTTTGCCTTACCTTGCATGGGACATTTTTATTTTAGTTATCTGTCCTACAAAAGTGACGCCGAAGGGTGCCGTCTTCTGGGTTATAACGTAGTTCGGAGAGAGCCATACATTTCGGAGGATTGCCTCCACCTTTAGATCGAAGAATAGGCAAAGGGGAAAAAGCAGTTCAGCTTTCTGCATGCTTCCTTTGTTTTCGTGCTTGGCTTGTTCGTCGTCCCTGAAGATGGAGGCGATATACTCATTCGAAACGTTACGTTCTCACCGCCATTACAAGGCGTTACAACACACAGCGCCGTATTCTTCGTGGTCACTGCTGTGAGAGCCCCGAACCCACAGCCACACGTCAGTATTCTTGTCTCGCCTGTTCCCATCCGCTTCGTGTACTAAGATTGCTAGAGGCGTTGCCTACCGTTCAGGGGTCTCTTTGGCTATTGCTTCAGAAAATGTCTTCAAACTGAAAACACCACTTCATGTTCCAAACAAAATATAATCTTGTTTTTTTCTTAGTTTGGCACTACTGTCAATTCGGGCCAGAGCTTTATCGCAGCGCTTTTCTGATTATTATTAAAAGAATCAGACCCTGTCACAAAATAACAGAGAAAACCGTGCCAAATACACATGATTCAATTGGGATACGAACCCACGATCCTGTTATTTGATCTGACTAAGAGAGTGAACGTTTTAGAACTCATATAACGTCTATCTTTGACAGGCTCGCCGAGTTCGAGCCCAAGAGACAGTCAACTGTCAATTAGTGTTCGGTTTCCCCTGCCAATCTTCATTCCACCAATTGCTTCACAATCACCCTCACCTATCATCTGGGGCTGGTACAGTAGGCCAGAAGTGACCGCAGTACAAGGGACTTAGTCCCACCCCACTAGCAATAAAAAAGAAAAATAATGAGGCTGGTGAGGAGTGGTACAGTATCAGAAATGTGAACCATGGTCGCAATTTGCTTGCACGGGGCACAGCACTTGTGCACGTGTACTGACTGTGATGATGGCTGTGATTAAATGTTGCGCCTTGTCCCGATTGCGAGGCAGTGTGCACCAGTTATATTTCTTTTTTGGTGATATTATTGCTTTAATTCTGTCCTAACCCAAAGGTTCCTGTTTTTTGTATACGTCAATGAATGTTGTTAATTATGAGAAACTACTGAGAAAAAGAAATAAAATCTGAAAAATTGTTGCAACTTACCCCGTCTTCCCCTAACAGGTGTGACAACAAAGTTCCAAGAAAGCCACAGAGGAGAGCTGCAGCCACGTGGCACATCAGAACTGTCAGTGTGTATTATAACGCTGTGCCCAACAGTTTTTTTAATTAGTTGAAAGTGATTTGTGCTTAGACGGCATAACATGTCTAATGTTCTTTTTTTAGAGCAGCGTATTAATCTAAAGTTACTCGTAGTAATGAAATTGAAAAAAATAGTCACAGAAAATTGCTGGTTGTCAGAAGGATTTTTTTATGGGTTTCGTAATGTCTGCAGTTCCAACATTTTAGTTAAACAACCTAAGAATCTATCGTGATAGGTATAACTTTCTCTGTTTGTTTGTTTATCTCTCATATGACCTAGACTCTCCTCGTCTCTCTTATCCTTTCTCTTCATGTTTTAACATAAACCCCTCCTTCATATGCCTACACTCCGATATCATTACACAAGGCTCTGAAAATCAAGACATGTAAACAGTCTGAAGCAGATGCCATTCAGATTAAATTTAGTATGGCCGTAGTCTGCTTTCCTTTCTAAGAAGAAAGTGGGCTTGTGGGATAACCACGCTACCTGTGTTTATCTGTGTGTGTCTGTGTGTTCCCGCCATTTAAACTTTTGAACCAGCTGACCCTCACGAAACTCGATATTTCATTGGAGACTACTCCCTACATTTTACTTCAATAGCATGGCCGACACCGAACACTTAAGGTGGACCAACAATCTATCTATCATTATTCCTGTTGCTCTCACTTGAGCCCAAAGCATACGTGAAACGCTTCGTTTCACTTCAGTTTTTTAAACTTAGACAGTCCGTAGGACACCTTGAAAAGGGGATCAACCAGTCGCAAGGCCGCTACCTACACACAGACACAGAATAAACGCAGACAAACAGCTATGCCTTGAGTGGGATTCGAACGCACGATCCCAGTGTTAGAGCAAGCGAAGACAGTTCATGCCTTAGACCGCGGGACCACCGTGATAGGCGGACCAACAGTAGCGTCACTTAATTTAGTGTCCGGAAATTATGCATGCCAACAGATTTGCGGAAAATACGCAGTATTTATGACGGTAATATTTTTAGTGAAATGTGACGTCATGATGGTGGTGTGGATATTTTCTTCAGCTTTCGGTGTGATAGGGATAACTACGTAATTAGATTTAGACAAGCGAAACTTGGTACCAATAGAGATCTTAAATATATGTTCACATTATAAATTCAATATTATTTGTTTCTCGATAATTATAAAAAACATGTGGACTAAGTGAAACGTTGAGGAGTGTTCGATAAATTTAAAGTAGACATAATGCATATGCATGTAACAGTTGTAGATCTGTAGGTCTACATGTCTCTGCAATAGGATCGCAGATGGGACGAGTTCTGCCAGCAACTTTTCTTCAACTTTTTATTTTGTTTGTTCAGTGTGTTGACAGTCACATAAAACCAGCGAAACTGAATGGAAATATCCATTAATCCTACACTCTCTGACACGTCTTCCATCACAGTGAAGGGAAACCTGCATTTCTGCACCCAGACCGGCTGTGAAGCAAGAAGTTACACTTGAATCAGCGCTGTTGCTACTGCTAGATGGAACTCAACAAAACTTGTCGACGCCCACGCAGTTTGGACCTCAATAACTTGTCTGATTATCGCACTCACTCGAGCATATATGGGTTGCCGATATAATCACCGTGATGCGTGCAGACGTGAAGTCCAACAGTCAGATCATGTTCCCGGCTTTACCGCAACATTTCAAAACCTCTTTGTGACGGCTAATTTCACGGGGACACAAATGTCCTTGAGTTAATGGTTATAATAAAGCGACAATTATCGTGCTCTCCACATCCTAAGTCAGTAATTAAATAACTATTCGAAAGGCGGTTATTTTATAAGTACAGCTGACGTCGCCATATAAAAAAAGAAGTTCTAGGAAGAACTAATCACCTACTTTCCTTTTATAATAAACGGACCACAGAGAAAGCGAAAAAATTTGGGCGGGAGGGACAGACACGAAAACATCAAAACAATCTCACAAGCCTCCTAACAAATATTAAGAGGGAACACACAGACAGCAAGGTGATCTCATAAGCCTCCTAACAAATATTAAGAGGGAACACACGCAGCAAGGTGATCTCATAAGCCTCCTAACAAATATTAAGAGGGAACACACAGAGAGCAAGGTGATCTCATAAGCCTCCTAACAAATATTAAGAGGGAACACACGCAGCAAGGTGATCTCATAAGCCTCCTAACAAATATTAAGAGGGAACACACGCAGCAAGGTGATCTCATAAGCCTCCTAACAAATATTAAATGGGAACACACAGGCAACACGGTGATCTCATAAACGTCCTGACAAAACTTAAGGGGAGAGGAACACAGACACACTGACAGCAAGGTGATTTCATAAACTTCTTTTTTAAGACATGGATAGCAGGCCAATACGTAAAACAGATGAATTTGACAAAATGTAAATTAATGAAGGAAAATTACCACTTTTTTGGAGACATGAGAAATGCACTTAAAATTCCGATTCGAAAATCCGATGGGAGATCACCTGAAACAATAAAGCACTGATGGGAGGGTACTCTGTACACTGTAAATTTGCAGATACTTTTTGGGATTGGATTCATGTGGCTGTTATGAACACGATAATGAACCTCAGGCTCCCATAAATGTTAAGGATTTTTTTTACCAGCTGACCGACTATCAGTTTCGCAGGAAGTTCTCTACTCCATGTTCGAGCTAGTTTAGTTGGAATAGCAGGGTGTACGGGATTTCCAAGAAGTGGTCTGGAACGGGGTCCGCTCAGCTTCGTGACGATAATTGAGGAGCTATTTCAAGGAAATAGCGTCTCCGGTCTAGAATACCGAAATTAACAGCCTTGGGGATTCGTTGCGCTGACCACGCAGCACCAGCTATCCGCTAAAGTTGGTACTAACTTCGCCGACAAGCGGCGGTCGCTCGGTCGGTATAGTTCGCTTGCAGACTAAAACCACGGAGTTTGTTTGTTAGTTTGTTTGTTTGTTTACAAGAACTGGCCCAGATTTTCGGGATGATACTGCATTCTCTGTGAAATCCGAACTATCAGTTTAATCATTTTCATGTCTCGAATTTTTTCCTATTATTTTGCATTTCTTTCTATAGTTCACGAAGGAAAGTATAGGGATTGTAATTTCAACAGGCTACGACCACTTCTCTGTCAATTCATCCTACTTGTTAGACCCTACACACAATTTCACATACGTCGAAACTGTTAACATTAATAAGTTGGGAAATTTCCGTATGGTACATTAATTCTATATAGTACAGTAAGTATAATAATTGGCCGCGCCATAGCTCCAGCGGTTAGTCGCTGGCTTCCCACCGCGGCGGCCCGGGTTCGAGCCTGGGTCTGATCATGTGGGATTTGTGGTGGACAAAGTAGCACTGGGACAGGTTTTCTCCGAGTACTTCTGTTTCCCCTACCAATTCGCATTCCACCGACTGCTCCACATTCATCATCTATAATCTTTGGCTGGTACAATAGGCCAGTTAGTGGCAGACGTACTAAGTGAACTCAGTCTCACCCCACCCCAGGAAGAAACCAGTATGTTAAATAAGGAGGTAAATATAGTGGCCGCAGAGCTTTATAGGATAAAAGTGAACATCAAAACAACGCCGGTCGACAGGTTACCGTCGAGTCATAAGCTGGATACTTAATTTGAGATTGTATGGGCCTATGTATATATATATATATCTGAGTGTTTCTAAATTCATTATTTTAATATAAATAAAATATTTAACGCGGTTAGAGTTGATTTCATCATATTCTTTAGTACATAAAATTTCGGAGAAAGTTACTTTAAAATTGAACACAGTTATAATTATGCGGCCTATATGGTCGATAAAAGGAGGATGAAATGAGAGGAGGCTGGAGAAAACTGCATAATGAGGAGCTTCATAACGTGTTCTCTTCTCCAAGTGTAATTAGAATGATCAAGTCAAGGAGAATGAGGTGGTCAGGGCATGTAGCACGCTTGAGGGAGAAGCTGAAAGCACAGAAGATTTCTGTGGGAAGGCCAAAAGGAAAGAGATAGGATGGCATGTTACGGAATGGATTGAGCTGGCTCAGGATATGGACCACTGGATGATTCTTGTGGACACGGTAATGAATTTTGGGGTTCCGTAAAATATTGGGAAATTCTTATATAGCTGAGCGACTGGAAGCTTCTCGAGAAGGACTCAGATCCATATAATTAGTTAGTCTACATGGCCACATTCGATCCTGTACCTGGCGGAATATCCTAGGCTATGATCTTCCTTCGATAAAGTGGGTACTGCATTGCTGTGTGAAATAGGCCTGCACTCTCCACTGATGTCATATTATGCTACTATTCATAATTACTACTCTCAGCAGAATCTTAATGGTGCTGCGTGGGACTATGGCAACCCAGTGCCCCTGGTAGGTGGATCTGCCAACAGTAGCTTCTCGTCAGCCGACGCCATTTTAATAAAAAATTCTTACATAAAAGATCTCCTTCAAATATATACTTCATGTATTTTTCAGTATTCGATGTTGTGGTTGAATTATGAGTAGGCGAGGTGGACAGGACAGAGTTTCAGCCTCTAATTACCCACATATGTTGATCTATGATCATAGCTGCTGCTCTAGTCAGCGTTGAAGCTTTATGGGTATTAAGTCATATGGAAACTGCCTTCCACCACATGAGTACGTTACGTAAGGAATGTGGTTTGTATTTCCTTATAACCTACTAATATATTCGTAAAGGTACGTACCACGTGTTTGCGACATTCCATTTCTGGCACAATATTGGCACATATACCTTGCGTCGATGCCAGAAAGTAATGTAAGTAAATGGGTATTGCTGGAATTTTAACATTTATGTAGGACAGATCGATTTTGAAGTCCAGAGAACAAAGATGAACAGAAATAATGAGGGAAGATTAATGACATGTCGGAAGTAGTACAAGTAGTAGGGGAAGCCACCAGAGACAACAATAGATTGTAACACAAATGTGCAACAGCAAGACATGAATGCAGAACAGCCCACTGTAAATGTAAAATAGAAAATTATATCGAAAAGCAACAGAATATGACACACAGAGTAGTAAAACACCCGAATAAGGGTCAAAAAGTAAAGCTATCCCTGTAACAGGCCGTGAAGGCCCATAGATTTGTGAGACATCGAGGCTCCCACATTATCTAGACAATCGGTTCGCAGATGTCGGTAAGGTTGTCAGCCTTACGCGTCGACCGCTCTTTACCCCTGTTAGAGGCTTATTTGACCCCAGGGCCATAGTACGGCTGGAAGGATTAGGGCATTGAAAAATTTAATGACTACATCGGGAATCGAAACCGCTACCTTCCGTCTTGTAGCATAGTGCCTCAACCAACTATGCTACCGCGTGCCCCTAGCCTGTAATGCCGCAATCTTTCTATTAACTTACAAGAAAATAAAAAAATTTGTTCAGACGTTATTGCATAGACGCAAGAATACAGGGGTCCCTTCAGAAACAAGTTAACAAAAGCCCTCTACGACTCTGGAAGTCACGAAACCAATGTGATATATCAGACAAAAAACATGCGGCATAAACTGTTGCCATACTTCCTGAGAAACGTCACAACTCAGTACTACCAACAACTGTGACACTCAAGGTCACACAATAAGCATTAGATTCGCTCTATTACATTTTCGTTACAAACTAGATATCTGTGATATTTCCTGATATCTATCTAAACTCGATAATATCAGTTATAGTCAGTTATGTATTTACAACGGTATATGCAAGTTCCAGTTTTCGTGTCACGCGATAAATGGTGAGTTCAACATACAGATCGCCACGGTTGGATAGGTGGCACTATCCTTCGTATTCGAGGCGTCCTGGGTTCAAATCTCGAAACTGAGATCAGCTATCTAGACTGAGATTTTTCTTGGTTTTACTCAACACTCCTTACTAATGTCGGTATATGGTAAAGTCTCAATTGAATGGATGAGACTCGTGCTTTATGGTCTGGAGGTCCCAAGTTTAAACGTTAGTTAGGAGAGCAGATATCCTGACTGTTGAATCTGTTTCGATATTCTTTCACCAGCCATTCTATGCAAAAGATTTGTCAAATTGTACCTATTTTCTTTCTTTCTTTCCAGTTTTCCATTCACATTCGTGCTACAACTTGACGTTACACAACAAAGTAGGGTCTGTAAATTGTCCAGAATTAATAGAACGGTACATACAAGTATGCAGCTGAACTACCGCGAGCGCCATCTGTATCAGTTACCCGGCTGCGACCCGTGGCCTCTGTGCGATCTAACCTCGTATAGGGGCGACTCACGGATCATGCATAGGTCGTCTAACCCGGTATCACAGAAGTCTCAAATTGCAGTGTGGCAGTCAGATGTCATTTGTTTCTGACACTGGCTACTATACCCTTTGCTAAGCAATTCTTCGTCCCTGTGATGCGCACAGCCGACTTCAGTAGACAAGTGACAAGCTATGTGCTACCTTAGCGAGTTTAAGATAACCGCTGTGATTTTATCCGCCTATTTAGTGATAACAATCTATTGCACTGAAGGAACAAAGGACAGGTCTGTTCGGTACGAGTGTGGAGGAGGTACTGGAGTTTAGCCAACAAGAATGTGGGAAACAATACAGAAGTGCCACTTGTTGCATCGCATGGTGAGTGTGCTTTGTTCAAAGAAGTGGGAATGAATATTCGATGCCTGTTCAGCTGATGAAATTATTTTCTGTTGTTTTACTTATCTTAGAAATTCATTACCGTCTTCATTTGATGCTACTGTGAATCAACTGAAACAAGTTCACATCTTAAAAAGAAGTTTCAGTACTTTCTACCTATCTGCGGGTTGCATCTTCATGTAGCTTTCCCCCGAGGTTTTACAGCGAGATTCCTTACATATTTCTTGAGCTCCCCCATTGCACATCATTCTCTCCATTAGAAAGTTCATCAATGCGTTCGTTATCCATCTTGTTAGGTTAGTTTCGATAGACATAAGTAAATATTAATACTTCGGTGTTTGAATAAGAGATTTCACGTGTTCATAATTACTGTGTAATAGCATGACCTGAATATCGACGCTCGTTATTGAACAAAACTTGTAGCCAGATACATCCATTACCCGCCCCCTCAACTTGTCCTTAAGATTATTAGTGTAATTCTTACATCGCTGCTCGTTCTTCTGAGTGACTGCCTTCCACGAGGTTTTTTTTCCTTGGCACTACAGCCCCAGTGGGCCTAGGCCTACCTCCATGAACTTCTCCGTTCACTTCGGTTTTTCTAGATCTTACACATTCGGTAGGACTCCTTGGGCGGGTGATCAGCTCGTCGCAAGGCCTCTACCTGTACACAAACACAGAAAAACGCACACATACAAACTAAACATCCATGCCCTGAGTGGGATTCGAACCCACGATCCCGGCTTCCAAGCGAGCGAAGACAGTACATGCCTTCCACGAGGTTTACCCAATTAAATTCTGCATGACCTGCTCACCGCCATCCGTGGCTGAGTTACATGTGCAGCGCACAAGTGTAGTCTGCTTTCAGGGGCTGTTCTAAAGTGTCAGATTTGAAGTCCTCACGGCCTTCATTGTTCAGATTATGGTTTCCTGGAAGAGTATGTACCTACCACATGTTGCGGTGTCATATTCCAGAGGTCTCCAACCTGAATATTGCAAAATGTTTTCGGAAACTACCTAAAGTTGCCTTCTCATTGCCCCGATTTACACAGCTGTAAATTCTATATCAAGCGAAATGATACATTTTTAAGACCAGTTTAACGGAATGGGCGACGCCAAGCGAAGTGGGGCAGAAACTTCTCTGACATACTTGCGTTCAAGCCCTTTCGTCGTGGCGTAGCTCAGGCTTACCATCGTGCGGCCCATGGTTCGAGCCCAGGTCAGGTCTTGTGGGAATTGTGGAGGACAAAGTGGCAGTGGTGCAGGTTTTCTCCAAGTACATCAGTTTCCCCTGCCAGTTCTCATTCCACCGACTGCTCCACATTCGCCATCAGCGTCTATCATCGGGACTGGTACAATAGGTCAGTTAGTGGTCGACGTACCAAGTGGACTCAGTACCACCCCACGTCAAAAAACTACGTTCAAGCCCTTTAAAACTACTCTTATTGATGGCAGTACAGTGTTCGGAATGAACAGAATAACTTGTTTAAAAAACACTTGCAATTTTTGTTATTAATATTACTTATATGCTTTCTTCTCTTAACTTTTGTATTAGTTCCTAAAAACCAGCTTTTGGGGGGGGGGGGGGGGGCAGGGCCTGGTTTGCTGCCCCCAATAAACTGTTTACAATGTCTCAAGGAATCATCCGATTAAGTTAGAACGGAATTACAATGAACAGTATTCTCATTGACACCGGTATGTCAATGAAACTAGTTAGCTTAATTACGTTGTGTTTAAATGAAACCCATAGTAAAGCCCGCCAAGGTTAAGTTTGTGTCAAGAATTTCCTATGCAGAATGGTCTGAGAGACGAAGATAATTATTAACGTTGCTTTTCAACTTCATTTACGACACGCTCCCTTAGAAAGTGGGGCCACACGGTAGCGTAGTTGGTTGAGGCAGTATGCTACAAGACGGAAGGTCGCGGATTCGAGTCCCAATTAGGTCGATTTTTTTTTTACTTGACCTAAACCTTCCAGCCGCTCTACGGCCCAGGGATCGACTCAGCCTCTAACAGAAATATGTACCAGGAATTTTCCTGGGCTGTAAAGGGCGGCAGGCGCGTAAGGCTGGGAACCTCACCACCATCTTTGAGCCGATTGTCTAGAAAATGTGGGAGCCTCGACGTTTCACAACCCTATGGGTCTCCACGGCCTGTTACAGGGATACCTTTATCTTTTCTTATGTTTATGGGTACTGGGGCCCCTTTCCTTGGGAGTGAAGAGGCTAGGGTGTGAAACCGACCACTGACCTCCATATAATTCCGAGTTCACTAACGGTGGAGCTGTACCTCCACTCCCCCACACGTCTTCATGACGTGATTCTTAATCAATTAAGCACAGGAGCAACTTTACCTTTACTGTACTCTCCATGACTGAAGGCCATTTTTCATCCGCAGCATGAGGGTGCGTATTCTTGTTACTGACCCAGATGTGCGTTTACGTCAAGCGACTAAACTCTAAGGAGCTCGAATTCCCGGAAATTTCCGAACGTCATTTACTGTTCGGTGACGCGCTTACACTGAAAGGGACATACACATTCTGTCCGCACTCACCATGAACTCTCTTTGATGTAGCACGCCATCAGCGAAACGGGATGTTGGTGAACTTTCGCACATTAACAGCACACACAGGACAGCCTTTGTTCGCGATAATGTTGACATAATGACGCAGTTTGGCGTTATAATGTGTGGGCTCTTGTAATGAACGAAGAGTACTATCTCCTGGGATGTGACACATTGTAATCTATGTAGTTTCGGAGGAACATCTCCATCTTCAGGGTCGAAAAGCACACAAAGCAGCAAGCGAGGGACACCTGATTCATATATGAGCCTGAAAGGGAACCCATAGACAACCAATCGGAGCGAATTTCTTTAAACCAGGTTTTCCCCGCGCGGCTCCCTATATTTGCTGCCTGCCTCTTGTTGGGTGTTTGCTTGGCTTACATTTTGACCATAGATACTATTGCGGTCTATTATCTTTGGACTGTATTTAAGCGGACTGTTATGTCTTGCGGGGCAAAGGGTAGGCCGACATGTAGAGTGAAACTTCTTCAAGATCACCAACCGTTCTGGGCGTAAGTATATTTTTATAGGGTGGTCTCTAAATCAGATTCGCATGGGTGAGAATTTGGGTAGTACAGTACAGTAAACACCAGACATATATATCACGTGACAACAGTGCTGCCCTAAATATTACCTTCCGTGTGTTCGCACCGAGCCGGTCGGTGCTACTGTGGCTGTAAACCTGTACTTGTATTCGGGAGGAACACGGTTCGAATACCGCCTTGCTACAGGCTACCTTACTCATTTTTCTCTCTTGCTAGGCAAATTCTGAGATTGTTAATTGAAATAAGCATAGATTTCCCCCACAAAACATTACAATNCCGTTCCGCGTTATTTCCATTTTGCTGCGTTCATGTTTGTGCCCCTTCGTACGTACGTTCTCACTGGCTGCGCGACTGTCCCAGCTAGTTAGTTGCATTACAGACGGATGTGATGCATTACAGACGGATGTGAATGAGCGAGTGACTCTTTCACTGCTGTGAACGACATATCTCGCTTAGAAACAGCGACCGCTGTCAGAAGCAAATTTGGAGCCCTCTTTTTCCGCGTTCACGTAGAAAGAGGTTATGATAAATTTTATGTTTTCACTGCAGCGACTATGAAGAATATCGTCTTCTGGGATTTGGTGCCGTGTAAATTTTGTGTGAACCGACGTTTCCGAGGAACGTATCGCCTTCATCTTCAGGGTAAAAAGATCCGCGAGCGAGAAACCACCCTGACCAGGTGACTCCTCTCGCTGGTTCCTCGCACACTGATTCTTTTACCCTGAAAATGAAGGCTATACGTTCCTCCGAAACGTCAGTTCACACAAGATCTGCACGGTTAGCATTCTTCTATGTAGGTTCTTCAATACCGTAGGAAGACAGGCCTGGGTAGATCCACGGACCTGTACGTCCACACGAGAAAGCAGAACCTATTTTAAATTACGATTGTTTCCTTTTATCAAATTTTCAGTTCATTATCCGCTACTCATGTTGTTATTTGAAGCTGCATGAATATGGCACCTGAAAGAGCGTCGAAATCTACCAGGAACAAATAAATAAATTGAATAATGTCCTTCCTCATGGCACGATGAGCCAACAAAGCTCACCGTTAAGCACTGCAAATTCTGAGGCGGTGACTTCGCCCGACTGTTTCGTAACGACAGAAATATTCGGTGTAGCCCCTGGGTATTGCAGAGGTCTGTTGGTAACTTCAGTGATGCAATCGTACTGTATACAGCTCTCCGCCTGACACTCTGCAACATACTGGATGCATTTGGAACTAAGGACAGAGATTATGGGCCACTCTTTCGAATCTAAATTATTTTTGTAAGCGTACCATCCCGGAAAGAGTGCCCATATCATTGTGACATGTAGGCCCGTTTCTAGGAAATGAATTGGCAAACACGTTTCCGCGGATATACGATTCTTAGACACAAACCATTGCTGGGTGTTAACAGGCATGTCCGTGGATACAAGAAGGAAAGTTGTAGACTGTTGGAAAGCACTTCGTTGCTGTGGAATCCACAGGCGTATCCATGGATACTACTAAGCAACAAACATCTCCTAGGACAGTGGTTGTCAACCTTTGTCGGAGCTCGGCCCGGTAAATTCTTTTTTCTGTAAGACGAAGGCCCGGTATAATTGTACCGGGCCGTGGCAGGGCGGTTGAGGAACTCCGTCCTAGGATACCGCGGCCGGCCAGATAAGAACCGGTGTCGTCGCAGCAGAACGGAGACCAAGAACTAATTCATTCGTAACTCTGAATCAAGTCATTCGTAAAGAGACTCTGACCAAGTCAGAACAGCAGAACTAGAAGAGAAGACACTCGTAGTACAGTCAGAATAGAGCGAGTCATAGGCAGTCAGTGATTGTGAGCTGTTACAGTTGATCCTGATTAAAAGACTGACTGTAAAACGTGTTAATGAATCCAGTCATCCT